ACATTTTACCTTGTTGGTAGAAATGAATGCATTTCTGCTGTGGCTTCTTTTTGCTTTCTGAATCAAGTTCAAGGTCCTAGCCCTTAGATCTAAGTGTTAATTCTTTTCTTTCTGTTTACCTCATTTTCCTGTCTCCTAATTTCCTGCATGCTTATCTATAAGACCACTTTATTTCCTTTTTTCACCTTTGTGCCTTTTGTCATGTTGTCCTCTTTTGTTTGGTGGTAGTATCTACTGCTCTCTAGTGGACTACTTTCTAGTCTTTCCTGGAAGCCTGTAGTTTTTCCTCTTAGATTATTATGATTGGTTTCCCTCTGTTATATTATAGAACCCGTTTTGTGGCACCGATGCAGCCTCAATATTGCCTAATACACTGTGAATGTTGTGTAAATATATAAAATACAACTTCTCTGCACATTTATAGTGTCTGAACTTGTGTTACGTTCAGTGGCTATTGCTAGTCAGATGAAGAAAAAAAGTAGAAATACTATTTCATATGGTATGTAGTTAGCCTATGGAGTACCACACATTGTAACCATTGGTGGCTTAAATGGTTATAAATTATTAAATCTTTGTGCACATGTGTTCAATGGACATGCTTCCAAATTATAGGTTAGGAATTTTTTACAGTGTGCAATCTTGATTGCTAGACTGAGATATGAAACACGCAGTAAATATTATCCTGGGTCCTTTTGGAATGGGGAATTAATAATGGCACAGAAGCCAAACATTAGAATTAAAATAATATGCATTTATTTGTAGAAATATAAAAGTAGTGGAGATAAATAGATACCAGACTCACAGCTAAGCATTTAAATTTAGGAGAAATTTCTTGCCATTTGGAAAAAGGATAGGGGAATTTCAGGATGAGGAACACTTCCTAATTAGAAGAGAGAGAGGCAGCTAGGAGCCAGATAGACATGTGTGGTGTTTAATTAAGCTCAATGAGGAGAGAGTTAGATGTAAATGGCTTTTCCTTTGGATTTACCAGCTATAGCAGAGAAAGTGAAGGAAGGTGGGAAACAATGTATGGGATGCAGGTATCACCTATTTCAGTTCATATTGGGCACAAGAATAGAAATTTTTCCATTGTTCAGCTGTGGTCTAGTGGTTTGTTTCATGCACCAGAATGTTGTCTTTATGGTGTTGGTTCTTTATGAATTCTGGATACTGCAGTTTCCTAGGCCTAAAGTTACACTCACCTTCTTGCAAAGGGAGGGAAATATAAAACTGAGTATCAGCAGTGCCGTGTTACATTGAGTTATTAGAAATTAAAAGGCCTATTTAATACTGTGCCTTTAATACAATGGTTTATTATGTAATATCACATCATCTTCTCTAAACATCCCTTTTCAGAATGCTTGCGTATTTCTGAGTTTTAATTCCCAACTGCAATAAATCTTCCTCCTGCCCTGCACATTTGTATCTTACACTGCAATTCTTGGGTCACTGGGGGTGATCATGTTTCCTCTTTCAGTTATCAACCCAGGAATGCCTCATCACAGAATTATTTTGTGATGTGTGAACTGGAACCTGAGTTGTTAGTTAAACAACACAGAGTTAACCCAAGGGCATTGTCCATTGATTTGTTGTTCTAATAACTCTTGAGTTATTTAACCCCGAAACAACTCAAATTTTCCAGGGTTCACATGTCATGAAACAACCCAGAAACAGAGCATTACCTGGTTGTTATTTGGAAGTGAAAACTTTGAGTGTGTGAGGGAAAGAGTGTGCCTGCTTTGTTTTGCACCTTCCCAACAATTCTTGGGGCAGGCAACCCAGGAATTGGGTTGCAATCATTCTTTTGCTTCTGATATAAAGATCATGTTTAAAAAGAAATACGTAATATACAGTTTGTGTTTCAAAATATGAACTATTTATTTATTTATTTAGACAACTTATATGCCATCCCATCGCATGAGCCTCGGGGCGACTTACAATCATTAAAATCCCGTATAAAATGCAAAAAATTCATCAAATAAATAAAATAAATAAAATAAAATAAAATAGTGGAAACAGCCTGGTCAATTTAAAATCAACAAGTAAACCATTAACAATTAAAATAGTGTTTAAATAAAAAGGTCTTGGCCTGGCGCCGAAAAACATATAACGACGGTGCCAGGCGGACCTCTCTGGGGAGCGCATTCCATAGGTTGGGTGCCACCGCAGAGAAAGCCCTCCTCCGAGTACTCACCCTCCTAATATCCTTCACGGAGGGTTCCCGGAGAAGGGCCTTTGCCGCCGATCTCAGGGGGTGGGAGGGCAAGTTATATACTATAACTTAAATGAACTACCAAATATGGTACCTTACAGTCTTCTTTTTATTCAATGAAATATGTTACAATGAATTTGAGGCATACTGACATTTACATGTGAACACGGACAATCCCTGATTATTTTCTGAAATTGAGAATACTTGATTCCCCCTCCACCCCATTTTTATACAACAGTGCATGCTGAGGGCCACAGTGATATTCGAATATTCACTGATGTGTATTTAGGATTTTCAGGCATTCACAGTGGTTCTCAGGGATTTTAAACACATGACAAAGTCTATACATCTATTATAATAGGTTTTGTAGTCATATTTATGATAGAGAGGGTTCTGTACAAATGCATAGTTCACCTGCTTATAGCTTAACTGAATGCTCATCTTGAATTCTTAATTACCCTAAATATATTTACTTGTAAAAGTAAGGGTAGGCTCATATGTTCAAGTATATGAGAATAAACAATTGCAAAGAAATAGTGTTCTCACATAATGAAGTCCAAACACAGCCTGTGTAAGTTACAGTGTTAGCAGTTGAATTGCATATTGTTTTTACAGAGAGCAAATACATTGTAAGTATTACAATAAATAGTACATCTAGTGAGATGATCAGATTTGCTGATGATACTAAATTATTTTTGTTAAAAGGGATTGTGAAGAACTCCAATAAAATTTCTTTTAACTGGTAAAATGAGCACTAATGTAGTTTGGTGTAACCAAGTGTAAAGTGATACTTGTTGAAGCAACCCCAACTTGAAACATGTATGTAGGTGTGATCCTAGTTTGTGGTGATTCAGCAAGAAAGAGATCTTGGAGTTGTGGTGATGAGTTTGAGGAAAATGTCGTCCTAAAGTGCGGCTGCTGTGAAATAGCAGGTTCCTGTATTCTCATGCAAATTCCATGTTGGGCATAAGTGGGAAGGGAAATGAAACTATAACTGCCAATATGATCCTTATACACATCTATGATATGACAACACTTAACACTGTGTATAGTTTTGGTTGCTGTATCAGAAAAAGAATATTGTAGGAATGGCTACAGAAACCACTGTGCTTGTACAGTTGCTATCAGATATTACTATAGCTTATCAGTCATGGTCATTTCATTTTTATTTGCTACTTTTGTGAGGGCTGGGGCAAGGCAAACTGAGGAGCAATACTAGAAAAAAGAAATAACAACATTGTCCTAAGTATGGGTTTTTTTATTCTCATACTTACCGTATTTTTCCGTCTATAAGATGCCCCCATGTATAGGACACCCCCCACTTTTCTTACCAATCTCTGAGTGAACAAGGCGCTGCTGCACGCGCCCGCCATCTCACCGCCTCCCCACGCACGCCACTCCCCCCCCCGCCCGCCCGCCCCCCCCCTCCCCCCCGCCCGCCCCCCATTGCGCCTTCCCCCCCCCCAACTGTGCCCGCACCAGTCTCCCCCCCCCCCCCCCGCACACCTGCGGTTCTCCTCTCGGTCCCCTGTGTATAAGATGCCCCTCCATTTTAAGGTTTTTTTTTTTTTTTAAGTATCTTCTTATACATGGAAAAATACGGTAGGTGGCAATCCTGTATGCACTCACCTGGAAGGGGTAAGTTCCATTGAATTCTGTGGGACTCACTTTTCATTAGCCATATATAGATTGTAGTGTTTTAGCTATTGGATTATTCAGAAGGGTGACTCTGTAGGAATATTTTATAGATACTGTGTCAACAGATGTAAAAAAAGAAAACCTGCAAAATGTATCCAGGATAAGGAAGGGTTGCAGAACCTAGTTGTAAGTCTGAAACAATGTAAATTAAGCCTACTACATTGTGAATTAACCTTGTTTAATAGTCACATTTGCATCTGTTCAGAAAATGCATGACACATTTTAAATGGGAAGCCTAATAAAACTAAGCAATTTAAATTTTCTCTTTTTCTTGCTAATTTAAATCGCTCTATGATTCTATGAAATCAGTCTACCCAGAGCTGTAAATAGAAAAGAATCTGGCTTGTTCTGTTTGGTGTATGGTTTCAAAACTATTGGTTCTTCTTACTGAGTTTTGTCCCCTGTTTTGTGTACTCTTAATAACTGTGTCCTTCCTGTTCCACACAAGGCTGGATTAGATGTCTGTATCTTAGTCTATGAAATTATAATTTTTTGTACTTGAGATTTAGAGTTTTGTCCACATGCTTCTCTGCCTCTCCCTTTCACTCACATGCTGGAATATAAGACTTCTAAACTTGTTAAACTATAGTTTACTGTGATATCTAAAGTGGAAAATGTAATCTAATTTTGGAGTACAACCAGAATATGAAAAGAAGATCCAATCAGTTTTTATATCCTGGTTTATTTTCTAAGATTAGATTACTGTTCACCAGTTTAGATATAACAAGAAAGTATAGTTGAAAAACTTTGAAAATTCTACATTCTGGTGTGCACATGACAGGAGCAACCATGTATGATGGCATTGCACTTGTTCTTTGTCTAATAATTGTGGCAAATTACTATGTCTGAACAGGCTCAGCATCTGTTTTCTGTTTTGAATCATTCAGTAGATAAGCAATGCTAGGTGCAAATTAAGTATACAAAACTATATTTTTCATTATTATCTACATTACATTTCTACACTGCCTATAGCTGAAGCTCTCTTCACAACAAATACTGCAACTCAAGATAAGCCTTTTCTGAGCATATGAAACTACCTTATCTCTTGAAAATAGGAAAACTATGTCACATTTTATATATTCTTTTCCAGGGTGAAATTCAGCGTTAGGAGACATTATCATCTAAAGGTGTTTCTGCCAAGAATAATAAAAGCATTTTAAACAGTTTGTATTAAAGAAAGCTGTGAACATTCATCTAGGCAAGTAAAAGAAGAAGGTGGGTTTCTTGATACAATATAAGACAGATTGCATGTTTTTCTTTATGTTACTTTATTTTGCTGACCTTCCTGTTGCTTTAGAAATTGGACTTGGGCGTCTTGTTATAAGAGATGTCACATATTCAATGAACTAAATTTCTCATTAGGATAGAGGAGACCTGTATTAGGTCTCTTTTAACACTGCCACCAAATGGGGGGGGGGGGCATAGCCAGTGGGCACAACTGCTTGCAGGCACATGTGTGCTACTCATAAGTATTTACTGATAATCAACAACTGTGAGTGGTTTAAGCCATTGTATCATCTGAACCTGACCACCATGGGTTATGTGCAAGTTAAATAACTCTTTCCTAACTCTACAACTGACTATGTTTAACCTTGTCAAATTTCTATTTGGCACAAAACTGGGTGAGATAGCTAATACCTTGGAAGACAGAAAGAAGATTCAAAGTGATCTTGGTAGATTGGAGCTCTTGGCTGAAAACAACAGAATGAAATTCAGTAGGGGCTAAAGCCAGCTTCTGCACCTAGGTAACAAGATGAGGAGTGCTTGACTCAACAGTACTACAAGTGAGAAAGATCTTGGAATTGTTGTAGATCACAAGCTGATCAATGTGCTGTGGCTGCAAAAAGGGCAGATGCTGTTTTGGGCTGTATTAATAGAAATATCACTTCCAAATCCTGTGAACTACTAGTTCCTCTTTACTCAGCACCAGTTAGACTTCATCTGGAATACTGCATCTAGTTCTGGACACCATCATTTCAGAAAGATGCAGACAAGCAGGAAAGAGTTCAGAGGAGGGCAACAAGGATGATCCAGGGACTGGAAATAAAGCTCTCTTAGAAGAGATTGAAAGAATTGGGCATGTTCAGCCTTGAGAAGAGAAGACTAAGGGAAGATATGATAATACTTTTCAAGTACTTGAAAGGTTGTCACAAAGAGGAAGGCCACTGATCTCATCTCAGTTATCCCAGAGTGCAAGACATAGAATAATGGGCTTAAGTACAGGAAGCCAGGTGCTGGAAGAACATCAGGAAGAACTTTCTGGCTGTTAGAGCAGCATGACAATGGAACCACTTAGCTAGGGGGGATGTAGGTTCTCCCACACTTAGAGGCATTCAAGATGCAACTGGACAGTCATCTAAGAGGGATGGTTTAAGTTGGAGTCCTGCATCACACAGGGGGTTGTACCTGATGACCCTCTAACCCCTTCCAATTCTAACATTCTATTATTCTGTGAATAACCCACAGTGGCCGGGTTCAGATAGTGGATGAATAAGCAAAATACTGACCAGCATATGCTGAGGCCCATTGAAATAGTCTTTTGAATGTTTGATGGAGTTTGAACATAGACTGGGTCAAAGTCTTCATGGGCAGGTGCATACTTAAGATCCTATGAAGGGAAGCTACAGGGAAGGAATTTGGAGTAGAGAACCAGTGGATGGGAAAGGAGTTAAGCGTAATTTCCTTGGTTGTTTCTGTGCTCTAAAAGTGAAATGGTTTTGCTGTCTACTTTGCCCTGCATTTGCAAAGATGTGCACTGCTTCATTATTAAAGTGTAATGAGTAGATAGAAAAAAAGGCTGGGACTTGAATCCAGGTATTGCAGTCTAAGTTTAATATTTTCCACATTCTTTGTTTGTTCATCAGTGGCTATAATGTGATAGCTACAGTAAATAACATGATTTGCTAATGTATTTTTAAGAGAGCTTGTGGAGAATTAATTATTCTCTCTTCTTGAAAATTATCTTTAAGGTCTATTGTTATCCAAGAAGGGCAGGAGGACCCCATCCAGGATCTAGTGCAGATCTATATCATGCTTTGCGATTTTGTGAATGTCAGGATGGTCACTCAAGTTAAGAAAATTGTGGAGTTATGACTAACAGGTATCTATCCTTTAAAAAAAAGGAAATTTAGAATAATAGCAAGGCACTGGTGTCCATGATGTGAGCTTTTACTGTGTAAATCTAAAATGTATGTATCATGTACAAATGCAATGTATCAAAAAGACAATTTAGTGATTCAGAAGAATGCAGATTCTTAGAGTTGGTCAAAATTTTGATAGATGTACTGCCTGTTCATGCCATGTTAATTTGGAAACACATTTCACTAAGCCCTCTGGGACTTTCCTTCTGTAATAATGCAGCCCTACAACATCTACTAAAAAGGCATGCATACTTGAATGGTATAAATCTCAAGGAAAAACTGAACCTTAATATTCTGATTTCCTCCTAAAACCAGGCATCATGAAGCATGATTGGAACAAAGTATTGGCTGTTTCAGCCAATTTTCAGAATATTGGCTGAAAAATATTCCCTCCAGAGCTCCATTTACCTTAAATCATTGGGGTCATGAGAATGTAGACACACCTACAAATCCAGTATAAATAATTGAAGGCCATAAGTCAGAAGGCATTCTTAAGTTCATGGATGAGGAAGTGTTTGCCAGCCTTACCATTCCCTGTGCTCCCCCAACATGAGACTCTTCCCCACATTTTTTGGGCCGAGGAATTAACTGGAAATGATATTGCATATCATGCTCTTAAAACCCAAATTGCATTTGGAATTGGTACATGCTGTTTTAAAAATGTTTTTCATTTACCTGCATCATAAAAAAATACTTAAAGGAACATTAGGTGTATTTGAAGAATTATCAAGAGGGAAAGGTTATATTCATATTTATTTGTGGTGTTGCTTTGATACAGAGCAGAAGAATTGATTAATTTTGACTGAATACATTTACAGATTTCTCACAGCTGAAGAACACAGAGGATAGAACTCATGCGAGTTGTTCTAGCAGACCAGTAACCTGAATGCTGTTATGGCTCAAATTTTCTGGGTCAGCCTAAGCTGTCATACAACTTCTGATACAGAATCTCCTGGTAGGCTGTTTTTCTTACTAGCAGTATTGCTCACACTCAGTGATTGATTATAACACTAGTCTCCTTGAACTTACTTGATATTCTCTGCTAAGACTTTTGCAGACACATGCATTCTCCAGGAATTTATTTTATTTACCCTTTTATTTCTAAATGCACATCTTTGGAACAAGTTTAATAATGGTGTGTCTGACAGTGATGTTGTAGGCACTAACCCATGGCACTCTTTGGAGATTGTGTGCAGTAGTTGAACTTGCTCTAGTGAAACTGTTGGTTCTTCTCAGCAACAGCAGTGGCAGACCTATTATGGAGAACTAGATGGTGGAAAGAGCTCTATTCTCACCATCTAGGGCAGTGATGGCAAACCTTTTAGAGACCGAGTGCCCAAACTGCATCCCAAAACCCACTTATTTATCACAAAGTGCCAGCACTGCAATAAAACCTGAAAACTGAGGTTTTAGTTTAGAAAAAACAACTCACAGCCAGTCCAAGCAAGTATATATATATCCTTGGCAGGATACTGACCAGCCATGCGAAAGCTCGGATGAGTCCTGACTAATAAGTCATGGTTAGTGATGTCATAGCCTGACGCTGCTACTCCATTCCGAGCATGTGCATGGCCCCTGTGTGCTCTGTTATCCGATGCTTGGCTGCTGGGGCAACTTGACTCACGTGCTGACAGAGAGGGAACTGCGTGCCCGCTGTGGCACGTGTGACATAGGTTCACTACCTCCGGCCTAACCCTACCCTGATGCACTCCCCTAACCCTAATAAAGGGGTAAACTTTCATTAAAAAGGGGGCCATTTTGAAAAAGCCTTCCTTGAGTAGCTTTTTCTGCAGAGCTCAACATTTCTGCCCCTTCTAAACACATTCCATCCATCAAAACAAAGTGTAGTGCCAACACTACAATGAAACCTTAAAACTGAGGTTTTAGTTTAGAAAAAACCACTTACAACCAGTCCAAGCAAATATATATATATCCTTGGCAGTGCACTGACTGGCCAGACAAAAGCTCGGACGAGTCGCAGCTAGTGAGTCACGGCTAGTGATGTCATCACCTGGTACCACTACTACATTCTGAGCATGCGCATGACCACTATTTGTGCTGTTATCCAATGTTCAACTCCTGGGGTGATGCTGGGTTGACTTGGCTTGCGTGCCAACAGAGAGGGCACTGCGTGCCCGCTGTGGCATGTGTGCCATAGGTTCGCCACCACTGATGTAGGGGAAGAGTACTGGGAAAAGACATTAGTGAATACTATTTGAATCAATTTTCTAGTCATTCAGTTCTCCATCACTTTATCATACCTTTCACATTTCTTCTGGCAAAATCATATATATGTCTTTTGGAAAAGTGGTGGAAGGAGCACTAAAAACTCTTCTTCATACTTGCAGGTGCATTCTTAAATAACACATCAAAGTATGCTCAAGCCCATTGAAATTGGTTTACTTAAGTGCAGCTAGGCAATTGGAAATTGGTTTACTTAAGTGCGGAATGTTACTGAAGCACAACATATTCCAGGTGCATTCAGGAGCATTTCATTGCTGTGAGCTGTGACAGGTTCTTTAAGAATAGTAACTTCTTCTTTAAGAATAGTAAAAGAAAAACTGTGGTTGCTTGCCACTGGATAATGCTTCTCCCATTAAAATCTGTCAAATAATTCTCTTCCTACAGGAAAAAAAACCTGTTCCAGTTCACATGATTGCTGCTTTAACAGTCCACAGTGATTGTGTGAATCATGTTCAGAAGTCTTCCAAGTTACTTCAAATGGGGAATTGCCCTTTCATTTCGGCCCTAATTTTACATAAGCAGCATGTCAGAAGAATTCTTGAGAAGTAGTCACATTAAAATTAAAAAGGAGCAGTAGAAGAAATGGCCTGTCTATTTAAATGCTCATTTTTACCTGTTTAAACAGTATGCTTTAACTTGTTTTCTTTCACAGGTTCTTAATATCTGATTAGTTTCCACTGCAGCAAATTACATAGCCATGGTTTGGGGTGACATACCTAACCTAAAAGATAATTGCATTTTGTTGAATTCTTCAACCATGGAAGAATTGGAAGTGGATCTTGGCTCTGGACTGAAGGAAGATGACAAAAAACATGGCAGCCCTTTTGAAGATTCGACAATCTTTGTAGCTTTCAAAGGAAACATAGAGGATGATGACTTCAAACAGAAATTAGGCATCATCTTGGAAAATGTTCCTGGTCTTTTACACATGGGTATAATATTCTCTTGCAATTAATGATTCTGGGGTAGGGTGGGGTGGGGTGGGGCTATACCAGCTTTATCCATGGGAAAATGTAATGCATTTATCTGCAGCTTAAATTGGTCTAAGATTACTGATTAGAATTGCTCTTGGTAAAAAGTTGATGTAGCTGGAAGAGAGAAGTGATTGCTTTGTGGCTAGTTCATATTCTCTTTATACTTAGAAATTTTCCACTTAATAAATTACCTCATTTGAACAGCTGTGGAATACCAGTGAAACTACTATTACTGTTTTAAAACAATGACAAAATACAATTATTTTGATGTCTTTTCTTGTTTTTAATTTAAAGCATGCCATTGTCCCCTTAATTTACCAGTGATCTGTACAGTTCAGTACTTAGATGATAAGTCCTTGTAGCTTAGTTACTTTGGGAGCATTCAAGGACTTTGTTCTTTCCTGGAAGGAGGCTTATTGCAAATTCAGAACACTTTTGTTTAGATACAGTTTATGGTCAAGTACTCCTTCTGTGTTAATTGTCCAAGTGAAAGAGCCAAGTAGACCTTCCCCTAGGTGAAGGACACTGTTTATGCTCACATAATGAAATGTTGTATTCCTGGTCAGAATCATAGTATTAGCTCCCAAAATGTGTGAACTATTTTGTAATTTGCTGTATTGTTTGTGTAACGGTACTCTAGCTGTTTGCTGCTTTATTGTGGTTCTGTCATGCTTGCAGAAATCAAATTGGCCAAACGTAAGAGTAGTGAAAGCAAATACTACCACTCATCAGTTAACAGTCTCCAATATTGTTAGTGTTAGTTTGAGAAGGCTTGTTTACAAAGCTATGTTGACCTGGTCCCCTTTGTGTTCCTCCACCTCACAGCTACCTGTGTCCTTGAAGTCTGCTCCAGAGGGACTCTCAACCTGCTAGAGCAGATGGGAGGATCATGTGAGCTGTGGAGGAGAGGAAGTATTGCCAGAAATTTCCTTATTCCCATTCTGAGGGTAGTTGTCTTTGGTCAGCAGAATGACTGCAACTTGATACAGCAGATGGAAATAAGTGGAAGAACTAAACTGTATTAGATAATTTTGGTAACATATTTGGCTTTTATTAGGGAAGGAAAGGATCATGAGGACATTGTTAAAACACAGGCAGGTTCAGATATTATTTTTAGCTGGTTTCGTCCATTTGTTTATAATTTACCCATACGATCTTGTTGCCTTTTCATCCCAGTTACCATATTCTCTAATGCATCAAAGTGTGCTTTCCAAGGCAGTACAAGCAAAATTTCTTGCTTATACAAGTAGGCAGTTAGAATTAAGCTTATGACCAATCCATTTTGTGTTGAAATGTATAATGTCTTGAGTGAACTAGCCCACCTTTACAGTGATATACAGTGTATATGGTGCCTCCATAGGGACATGTGTTAATAGTTATTTTACAGGAAAAAATGTTTGTCTTGGTGGAAAGCAATGAATAAAATGAAAGATGCTTGTCTCAACCAGAATAACTGGTAAGTTTTTTTTTTCCCTTCTCCTTTGACAAGAATCTGACAAGCTAAAATTGAAGAAGGTGGAACCCTGGAACAGTGTACGTGTTACTTTCAATATTCCTCGTGAGGCAGCTGAGCGACTACGAACACTGGCTCAAAACAATAACCAACAGCTTCGGGATTTAGGAATTCTCTCTGTTCAAATAGAAGGTAGTTGAAACTTTTTATGTAATTGTACTCTGAACTCTGTACAATTAAGTACTCTATACTTAAAAATATAGTTAAGATTATTAACAAGTTTTTATTTTCATTCACTTCCTCAGTAACATGACTAAAATAATTACAACAAGTAATTATATACTTCATTAGTATCCTGATGAGTCTGATAGAGCAGGGCTGCATGTTATACATACACATATTAGTTTTCCTTCTACTAGCTGTATAGTTCAATGCCTCTTGCTTTGTAAGTTATAACTATCACATTAAGCTTCCCTACATTCCCCATGTCATATGTTGTGGTCAAAGTGACTGGGAGGACACAAGGCATGATTGCCTGCAATCACATAAGGGATGACACTAAATTATGTCTCAGAGGATAGGAGTGGAAAATCTTCACATGAATCCCAGTGTTAATCTAGGTTTATGGTTTTCATTATTTCTACCCTTCCTCATCTGTGACTGTTAAAGCTGCAAGAGCTTCTGCACTGGCAAATCCAAATCATGGTTAGATAGATTTTCTGAAGTTTCATTTTTTATTTTCCCAATATTTTAACAGTTAAGTAGTTTTATCTTTGATTTTATCATTGTTTATTGGATGCAGTGTGTTTGTTATATATGGTTGTTTTTTGTTTTGTTTTTTATAAGCCATCCAGAGACTTTAGTATGGGACAGCATATAAAACCATTAAATAAAAATAAATAAAGTAAGATAAGATAAGATAAAGCTGTGTGTGGGATTGTGTGTGTGTGAGTATGTGGGATTTACTTCAGAGATTTGTGAATGCACAGGCTATATGCTTTAATGGGGAAGCATTGTACATAATGGAATGCACATGTGGATTGTACAGAAAAGCATCTTATTACGGGAAGCTCAGTATGGCTCACATGGTACAACCATCCATCATGGGTGTCAACCTTTGTAGGTTGTCATGTTATGTGAACCCAAACCATTTCCTAGGGGTAGTTGTGCCATCTGTACCCAAGCAACTCACCCCATCATGGGTACCATGAAGAGGCTGACAACCCACTTGGCAAGAATGGCAAAATTCCTTGGTGCTTTTCTGAGCTCATGTAGACCACGATCAGTGACAGGCACATCAAATGATTTGTGATGGGCTTGGTGTCCCTATCATTATATTAACCCTTTTGTGCTCACTGTAGCTCCCCCAAACATTGAAGGTGGGTTTTTTGTTTGTTTGTTTTATGTTTTTTTGGGGGGGCACCTTTTACCTCTTTTGTTTTCTCTTTCAGAGGTAACTTCTAACAGGCTCTGAGTTGACAGCCAGTGGCATATTGGAGGGGATATCACTGGTTTGTCATCCTAATTTGTTTCAATTACACTTCAATATGTTGAACTCCAGTTTCTTTTCAGGGCTTTTTTGATAGGCGCATTTCAAAGCCTTTTGGAAAGGAACTGGAGCTATCTGTCAAACTTCTATGATCACATTTTTACCAAACACCCAAAATCTTGGAAAAGTGTGAGGAAAGAAAAAAAAAAAAAAGAGGAATTCACTGTGAAGACAATCTACTAGTTACCCACTTTGGCAAGCAATGGTCCTTGTGGTTTTGCTTTCTCTTATTTATTTATAACAGTATTTCTATATTATTCCACATCCAGACAGATTCTGAACAGTATAAGTTTGAAACAAATAAAATAATAAAAACAATACTTTAAAAACATTGAATGACTTTTAAGACTGTGGCTGCTTATTAAGAAAAGGCTTCCCAGAAGTCAACAATCATGGAGACTGCCTGCTGCACTCTGACAGCAGAGATCTCTTCGCACAATGGACAGGTGAGGCTGTCCATTTTGGAACAGTGAAAGTGAACAGTTGTACAAGTGTGAGTAAAAATAAATTTTAAACGAACTTTATACAGATTTTTGTGCTGATAAAATAGGGGCCAGAGAGACCTTCCAGTGTGCTACTTTGAAAATGCTGTCAATTCTGAGGTTGCAAAAATGAGTCTCTGAAAGAAAAAATGGGGCTAAAGGGACCAGGAAAGATGCAGGGAGCACAAAAGGGCAAACAATCATGGCAAGGAGGGCAAACAGTAGGAGTCCTGCTAGAGTCCTCAGGAGGACCAAGAGGGAAGTAGGACATAACCCATAGTGAGCAAGATCATACCTTGGTTGCATGGGAGGTTGACGAACAAACTCCCGTGGAAGCTTACTGCCAAGGTGGGGTGGGGGTGGGGGTGCCATGATGTGCAAACCCTCCCAGATGTTAATCCAGAATATCAGTTTTGAATGCATATCCTCTAAAAGTGCTGCATTGTAGCTTCCTTCCTGCCATATCAGAGTCCATATATACCCTGCTTCAAATGTTAATTACTGTTTACAGGTGAAGGTGCAATCAATTTGTCATTAACTCAAAACAGAGGCCAGGATGTGAGGATTAATGGGCCTGTTGCACAAGGCCCCTCAGTACGAATGGAGACAGCATTTCCCATGCCAGGAAGCCAAGGCAAGTACAGTTTTTTTAAACATTCAGACAAATATGTATATATTTTTAAATAGGCAGGCGTGTCAGATTTTTAGTGGTGTTGCAGGGTTTCTGAAGAAAGAACTGGGGGTGAAGAAAGTTAAAGAAGTTGTGGCTGCTTTCTTAAAGAATGCGGAAAGGGAATGGGGATATACTACAGGATATAGTGAGATAGAAGCAGAATCAAGGGACATAGTAGTCAGATATATCTGCTAACTATAGGCTACAATGTTGAAATAGAAGCATATTTAAACAAGTCAATGAGCTGATGGATGCAGCTAAAGAAAAGACATTTCGATAGTAACAGGACATAGAGGTAGGCTTCTTTGTATTAAGGCACAGAAATATGAGATGGATCAACTTGGTAGACATTAGTTGATAGTTCAGTATAAGTTATTTTTGAAGTTCCTAAAATATGATGTGCTTTGAAAAGTCTGGGGGACAACAAACAATATTGAATAGATTATATAATGGTTAGGGACCTATTTAAGAATCAAAGGAAAGGAGCACATTCAGCTGGTGGGGGTGGAAGGAATACAGAATTCCCAGTAACCTCAAGTCTCAGATGAGGTGAGTCAGAGTCAGCCTGAGATCCACTGGCTCTAAGATCTTCCAGAGGGAGAAAAAAATATGAGACTGTTCTTTCTTCAGTGCCTCTCTTGAATGGCAGGCACTGGTATGGCATCGGATTGCTCTGTTATACAATATTTATCAACCTTAAGAAAGTTTTCATCAGCTTTCACTGTACTGCAAAGACAGGATTAGACTATGAAGGCAGCTAAATAATATATGACTAGTGTTTAATCAGTTGCTGAACTGGGCTGCAGAATGTTTAAGAAAAGTTTTTATAGACACAACTGCCATTTTAAGAGGCATTCCTTCCTGTGTTGTCAGAGATGGGTGCCACCATGGATATAAATACATGCCTGCATAAGCAATTAATTGAATACAAATTTAACAATTATGTTTTCTCTAATAGTAAATAATCTTTCTAATAATTAAAATTTCTATATATAGACAGTTTTCTATGTAATTTGGTATAATTAGAGAAAATAATACCCACTAAAGAACCAATATGAAAAAGGATTTCAACAATGGTATTCACTTCCTCTGAACTATTTAACGTATTTCATTAAATGTGCTCCCTGGAGAGGTGCTCCTGGCGCCGAGTTTATCTTCTTTTCGGTGCCAGGTTAAAACCTTTTTATTTAACTGTTATTTTAAAAACTAATTTAAATTTTAATGTTTAACAGTCACTTTTATTTAACTTATTTAATTTGTATTTTTGGTTAATTGTTATTTATTGCTGTTTTATTGTGGTTGTTTTAATGATTGTAAGCTGTCTTGGGATGCCATGCATAAGGGATGGCATGCAAAAGTTTTAAATAAATAAATTTTAATTCCATTCCATATATACAAAATAATACACATTTCAAACTTGGACATTAAAGCAAATGGAAAAGAAATACAGTGACTGTACATTGATTGTAGAAGTAATAGTAAATACAAAAGGAGACTTGCATTTTTTTCATTTTCTGATGGGGAAAAATCACTCAGGATAAGTCAGTATGACAAGAGACAAATTGACAGTGGGAATACTGGTGCAATCCTATGCAAGTTTAGACCAACAAGACCTTCAGCTCCCAGCATTCCACATCTCGTGTCATTAGTTGGAGAATGCTAGGAGTTGTAGGACTTTTTTCTGTTTAAACATGCATAGGATTTTGCTGTAAAATTACTTTTGTGAAAAATTTGAAAAATGTGCTTATGGAGTGTCATGAAAAATGGTTCATGGACAATGCAAAGTGTGAAGAATAGAGGCACTATTAAGAATAAGAGAAAGGCATAGATGCATTTACATTAAAGGAGGAAAAAAGAGTACAGACATGGGCCAAAAAAACTTACACAAGACTGAAAAGAATTCAGAGTCTATGAATTGAAATTAATGAAGTATTCCTAGGAAGAAAACATACTGTTATGCTAATATTACTATACTGACATAAATTAGCAAAGCAGGAAGGGGAAGATCAACATAATACATATGTTCATGGTCTAAATTTTTTTTAAAAAAAAAACCTTCATTTCTGGGCCTTCAAGAACTAAGTTTAAATATGCTTTCTTTTTGTAGAAAAGTGAAGATCCTACATCTTAATGTTAAAATGTGATATTCCCATTAACATTAGTGTTTTGTTGTTAGCTGTGTGATTCAGCAGGCCCAAGCATTTAATATATTTGTGTAGCTTTTAGTTTCCTCATGGATCTGTGCAGATGTGTATCTTGCCCTACATCAAGCAACTATGGCTTAGAATCTCTAAATTTCATTGCAAGGTTTACATTTTCCCATTTTATGCATATTTCGCATAAAATATGCCATATTATAATATTGCAGTGTGACCCGCTACAGCTTTGCACAATAAAAACTATTATTACATTTCTAGGGTTGATACGAATAAACAATCCTGCAACTGTTGTGATGCAGCAGAGTGGGAATGTGTCATCATCTATGATGACAAGTACAGCTAACGCAGAGCTGCAACCGAGAACACCTCGTCCAGCATCTCAGTCAGGTACTAATCATAAAGCCTTACAATGCGCAATAGCATTGCTTAATATTTCGTTCAAGTATTTCTGGAAAATTTGTATTTGTGTGACCTAATCCCTGGCTTACATTTATTAATCCAGATTTAGATCCAGGAGTGCCTGGTTAGGTAGAAATATATGTCTGCTTGTGCAAGGCAGTTCTGCCATATTCCCAATTTATTTGCCCCAGTGAAATCCCCAGCCACTCAGGTCCCATCCTGTGCCATTCCAGACAGTTTCTTAGCCTTCAGGAGTGGCTTGTTGTAAGTGCAAGAAGCTCTAATGTGAGGGGATGAAGCAAAGAAAGCCTTGTTGTGCAAGCAGAACTCTGCTCTGGATCCATCCCACAATATAAAGTATTTACCAAGGCTGCTGTCTCCTTATTGTTTAAATATTTTAAAAATGTCTGTTATTCTAGTTCTTGGAATAGTCAGATATTCCTGTAGCTTTCATATTGTTTTTGAGTATCTCTCCCCCACAATATGAAATTTGATGAAAACATATAGAATATGCTGGAATGTAAGCATAAGAATATTCTTTTTCTGTGAAAGGTAAATTGGTGGGTGTAATATTATCTCTGTTGCTACATCTAGTATAGCACCTACATCTGCCTCTTTTACTTTTGCATTTTGTTTTCATAGATGCAGTTGATCCACTCTTATCAGGGCTAACCATTCAACAGCAGAATCACCCATCAGGATCTGTAGTGCCTCAGCTTCATTCAGTACAGCAAGTTCCTGTTAACAGGCAAATAAACCCAGCCAGCTTTCAACAGATGCAACAGCAACTGCAGCCACGGCCTCCTCAGCAGCACCAGCAGCCACAACAGGGTATTCGCCCTTCATTTACAACCCCAGTTCAGGTTCCAGTTCCTTCTGGTTGGAACCAGGTGCCTTCTGGAACAGTTCAGCCTCCTCCATCCCAAGGAACAATAGGCACATTGCCAGTTAACCAGGGTTGGAAAAAGGCTTCTTTACCTGGGCAAATGCAGCAGCAACTTCAAGCTAGACCATCTTTAGCAACGGTACAAACACCTTCTCATCCTCCACCCCCATATCCTTTTGGAAGCCAACAAGCTTCTCAGGCACACACAAACTTCCCTCAGATTAACAACTCTGGCCAGTTTACTGCTCCTCAGATGAAGAATCTTCAGGGAGGGCCCTCACGGGTCCCTACACCACTACAGCAACCACACCTGACCAACAAGTCTCCTGCCTCCTCTCCTTCCTCTTTTCAGCAGGGATCTCCTGCATCTTCTCCTACAGTTAACCAATCACAACAGCAGATGGGACCAAGACCTCCCCAGAATAATACCATCCCCCAGGGGTTTCAGCAGCCTGTAAATTCCCCTGGCCGTAATCCTATGGTACAACAGGGAAACGTACCTCCTAATTTCATGGTGATGCAACAGCAAAACCAGGGTCCACAGGGCTTACATCCTGGGCTAGGAGGTAAGTAATCCTGTTTATGAAAACATGTTTATGTGTAGTCTTTAAAGCAGACATTTGCCCACTTAAATACATAATTATGAAGTCACTACTAAACCTATAAAGTGGCAAATAGTAGAACATCTGTGCCATGATGTTTCTTGAAAAAGATTCTTCATGCCACCTAATCCAACATAAATGTCTAATATGTATGCATAATGGAAGACTGGGCAACTTTTCCATGGAAGGAGATGCCATAGCATCTTTAAGCTGCTTGTTCAATTACTGAAATAATTTTATAATAAAGAACCTTCCTTAATGTTTCATTTTAAATATGCTTTGCTCTAATGCAAATTTGTTGCATTTGTGTCTTGAATTGATACGATGAACACTTTTTTCTGGTATGGGAAGACATTACCAAGACATTGCTAATTTCTCGTGTCAAGGCTGTGCCTCCCTAGCCTTTCCTCTAACTACTTGCTTTCCAGGTGTCTTATCCTCTTACCACTACATACTAATAATGATATATCAGTAATAAAGATGCCTTTATTGAACTAATTTTTTTCCTCCTGTCCAGGAATGCCCAAGCGTCTCCCACCTGGCTTTTCTACAGGACAAGCAAATCAAAACTTCATGCAAAGTCAGGTGCCTTCTACAGCACCAGGAACACCTGCAAATAGTGGAACACCCCAGCTGCAAACAAGTCAGAATGTGCAACATACAGGTCTCTTTACTGTATTTCGATGGATTACTTGTCTGTTTGGTAATTTATTGCAGCTGATTATAAATGAAGATACAAAATAATCACATGCCAAACACTGTATCAATAGTAGTAATTTCCATAGAACATAATTGGCTGTGTTAAATTATGCAGAAGTGTTGGCCTCAAAAGTAATACTTAGAAATGAATGAATGAATGAATGAAAGTATACGGATTTTTTGACCATTTTAAAAATTGGTAGCCACTTCCAAGAGTAAACAGCTTTCTTGGCTGCAAGTAGAGGCAGTATGGAATTAGGTTTTGAGGGAAAGAAAAAAGAATGATCAATTAGAACCTTTTTCATGTTACACAAAAGGTTTTGGACTTTTATTAAGGGCTTTGTCTTGAGAAATATTTCTAAACTCTCGCCTTTTTGGGAGATAGTCTAAGTACTTCTCTGTTTGATTATATTTAATGGCATATATTTTATGGTTGTTAACATATATGTAGCCTGTATATGTTGTTAACATATATGTAGGTTGTTAACATATCTGTAGACTTGTTGAGTCTTAATTGTTCATGTTACATTCACTTGTGATTGGTATAAATGTTGTTAGAAAGTAGCTATTAGAAATGATTGATATTTCAGTCCTTTTTTGGTCAACATACTTTCAGATGTTTTTGTCACAAATATTGGAATTCTGTTAGTATTGTGAATGGTAAACACCTTGACATTTTCCTGAATTAACTTACTAAATTACCTGTGTTAATGCCAATTCACTTTACAGTATTCTGACTTGAACTATATGTTTTTTTAAGGTGGTCAAGGGAATGGTCCTGCTCAGAATCAGATGCAAGTTCAACATGGCCCATCAAATATGATGCAGACCAATTTAATGGGACTTCATGGAAATATGAACAATCAGCAGACGGGCACTAGTGGAGTTCCACAAGTTAGCATGAGCACCATGCAGGGACAGCCTCCACAAGGACCACAATCTCAGTTAATGGGGATGCATCAACAAATAGTATCCTCCCAAGGACAGATGGTAAACCTACAGCCTCAGGGATCTCTAAATCCTCAGAACCAGATGATACTTTCTCGTGCTCAGCTTATACCACAGGGCCAGATGATGGTAGCACCTCAAAACCAAAATCTTGGTCCATCACAACAAAGGATGACTCCACCCAAACAGATGATTCCCCAGCAAGGCCAGCAAATGATGGCTGCACATAATCAGATGATGGGACCCCAAAGCCAGGTGTTGCTACAGCAGAATCCAATGATGGAGCAGATGATGACCAATCAGATGCAAGGAAATAAGCAGCAGTTCAATGCTCAAAGCCAGTCCAGTGTTGTGACGGGGCCAGCTCAGTTAATGAGAGGACCAACACCTAACATGCAAGGAAATATGGTGCAGTTTGCAGGGCAGATGATGACACAGCAAGGCCCTGTGAATGGAAATCCTTCTCAGGTTATGGGGATTCAAGGGCAGGTTCTGAGACCCGCAGGACCTAACACACACATGTCTCAGCAGCTGGGTGATACCAGCAGTACAACAAACAATGATGTGAACATGGCACAAATGCTACCTGATGTTTCCATGCAACAAGGAAACATGGTGCCTCCCCACTTGCAAGGGATGCAGGGAAACAGCAATACATCAGGGAGCCATTTTTCTGCACATGGGATGCCTTTCAATGCCCCCTTTAGTGGAGTCCAAAATGGGAATCAGATTTCCTGCGGACAAAACACAGGTTTTCCTGTCAACAAAGATGTCACACTAACAAGCCCATTGTTAGTAAACTTGCTACAAAGTGATATATCTGCAGGACATTTTGGGGTAAACAGTAAGCAGAACAATCAAAGTGCCAATAAACCCAAGAAGAAAAAACCACCAAGGAAAAAGAAACAAAATCAGCAAGTAGAACAAATTAAGTAGGTTGAACATTTTTGTTTCTTACACAATTGAACAAAGTTTGTTTATTAACTGTAGTTTTGCATTTGGTAGCAAATGTTAACCAAAGTTTCTAAGTTATAAGCCACTAACAGTTTTATGATAAACCCACCATCTCATGAAGAAGTAAAGGTAAGAGGAGAAGAGGAATAACTTTACCAACAATTTACTATGTGATTGTATTGAGTTAGAATTCAAAATGCTGCTGCTTTCCAAAGGGAAAGCTTTATTTATAGGGCTGACATAGAAATCCAACTATGGAATTTTCTGTTACAAGCTGTAGTGATGGCAACCCATTTGGGTGCCTTTCCAGTCATGGAGGATAAGGCTATTAATGGTTACTACTCAAGGTGGCTCTATATTACCTCCAGTGTCAAAGGCAGTAAGCTTCTATATGAATTGGCTATTTTATCCAAGAATGAATGAACAAATGACTTATTAAGATCTTAGAGCTTATATAATAACATAATCTGTAAAGAGTAGCACAAATTATAAAACATTATTTTCAGTTGATTTTATACTCCTTGTGAGCATATGTTCAGCAGTGACTTTGTTCACCTAACTTGATTAATACATCCAAACCCAGTATTAAAAGCAATTCTTACAACAGCATGCTCATTTTCTATGATGAGTGGGCTTGTATGTTAGTTGGCCAAGCAATCTTTTTGTGCCTTAGGGCGTGGGAGCTGATCTTGGGATTGTTGCAGGTTTTTCTGTACAAAAGAATCACATTTTGTGGAATTTACATAAATTGCCTCATTTCTACAACATTTGATCTCCCAAAAGGCATGAGAGTGAGAAATCAGGTAAATCATTCCCTTATCTGTGGTGTCCAGGGTTATGGCCTTTGCACAAAAGTTAATACATGCAGTGATAGATAGGCCATCATTCCACAACCCATTCTTCCACATGTATGAAATTAATGGGCCCAACCAACTTAACTTCAAAAGAGGGTGGTGGGGAGTGGGTCATTCCTAGGATTAAGACTTAGTTTCTTTCATCTAAACAGAACAACCAAAATAGTCTCTTTGTTTCCAAAGATGTAAACGTTATTACCTGGTCCCATTGAAACACTTCAATCAAGTATGTAATAAGCATGATAAAAATGCATCTGTCATTAAAAATCGACAGGTCATTAGATAAATTAGATTGTAAAAATATATATTGTAGTGGGTGATTGCATTATAATAGAAACATTCTATTTCTTTTTTATTTTGGCTTGAAAGCAATCAGTGTTACTTGGTTTTATTAAATTATGTGACCTTTTCAATGCATGGATCTTTAGAAGTGTCCATTAAGTATATTTTTGAGGTTTTTACATTAATTTTATAAAAGTAACAGCTGAGAGCTGCATTGATTTCATGGCATATCCTCCATGTTTAAGCCTGGATCTATCTTCACATCTCTTGCTAAACCTTTTATAACAATCATTTAAGAAAGGAAATTATTATTACTCCAGCTTTGAAGGAAGGGAGTCCCTTCCTGCATGACCAGCATGGAAATGCGGGGTATTGTCATCTCAACAAACTAGTAAAAAAATATTTTCTAGCCAAGTAGAGTGATGGAGGAGTAACAGAAAATTATCCCTTCTTTACCAGCTTGATTGCTCGACATCATGAATAACTTGTTGTCTATGGTTGCTAGGTGAGTTATTGAATATGAGTCAAATTACCTTTATTACTGCAGCTAAGGATGAAGAAAAGGTACCTTGAACAAGACCTGTCCCTCAGCTGTATGAGATAGTGCAGCTTGAATTTGCAAATGCAGCACAATGCTTTCCTAGCAAATCTTCAGCTTTATTTAGCTGAGGTTCAGAAACTGAAGAGCATGCTTTGGAGAGCTGTTGTGTTGTGCAGGAAACTACTTCTTTTGTAGAACCCACCCATGTATCTAAGGTCTTGACTGATCTCTGAAATGTTTAAGGAGAGTGCTTCCATAGACATGCCAGTGCTCCCTTAGTCCTAATTGTTGCTATTGCATAGTGTGGTTAGGATTCAAACCGAGGAAACCAGGCAGGTGCATTCCTTCAGGGAAAATCTATCAAGAGGCTGCATGCTAGTATTGGCATGAAAGTCTGAAGCCAAAAGCGGATAGACCACCATTTTCTCTCTGTCAGTACTATTTCTCTCCTCCTTCTGACATGCCATTTTCTCTCCAGTAGGCCTATGTATGTGCCTGCCAAATCTCTGTTCAGTCCATCCCCTATGCTTGATCAAGTCTTGAAGCTCGTGTTCCTTGACTAACTGGGAAGGATAGTCAAGGACTTCACAATCTGGAAGCATATGTATGTAATAGGCTGGCACACTGTGGTCCCTCTGAATAGGTAGTTTTCGCATGACATGTTGCAGACATGAGCAGAAGGAGGTTTGAGTCTACTGGTGGATCTCTGAGTGGTCCTGTAATAGTTTGGCAAGGGTTTATGACCTCCAAATGTCTAACAATAGCAACAGGTCCTTTCTGCTTAAGTTGCTGAAGAACACATAGGGAAAACAAGTATGGATGTTGTGTAATGGAATTTCTGAGCTTGTTTCTGGTACTGATCAAAAATTTCAGGGTTGAGCTTGTGCTCAAAAGTATCCTGTTCCTCCTTTCTTATATGCCTGCTTACCAGAGGCACTATTTTCATAGAATAGTAGAGTTGGAAGGGGCCAGAAGGCCATCAGGCCCATTTCCCTGCTTGTGCAGGATACTAAGTTAAACCATCATTCTCAGATGGCTGTCCAGTTGCATATCTCTAGCATGGGAGAGCTCACAACCTCCCTAGATAATTGGTTTCAGTGTTGTACTACTCTACTAGTCTGAATGTTTTGGTGATATCTAGCTGGAATCTGGCTTGCTATAACTTGAGCCCATTATTCCATGGCACTTCACTTATCTGGGATGAGCGAGAAGAGATCCTGTTCTTCCTCTTTGAGACAGCCTTTCAAGTACTTGATGAGTGCTACCATATCTCTGCTTAGTCTTTTCAAGGCTTAACATGTCTTGAAACCATCTCTTTCCATATTTTCCCAGAGGGCTTATTTTCCAGTACGTGGATTATTCTTGTCATCCTCCTATGAACCCTTTCCAGCGTGTCTGCATCTTGCTTAAACGGTGGTGTCCATAACCAGGCACAGTACTCCAGATGAGGCCTAACCAATGCCCAGTAAAGGGGAACTAGTAGTTCACAGGATTTAGCAGTGATACTTCTATCAATGCAGCCCATAATAGCGTTTGCCCTTTTTGCAGCCACATCACATTGTTGATCCATATTCAGCTTATGATCTACAAGAATTCCAAAATTCTTCTCACTTTCAGTGTTGCTGAGCCAAGAATCCCCCATTTTGTAAAAATGCAATTTGGTTTCTTTTTCCGAGGTGCAGAACTTGGCATTTGTCACTATTGAATTTTATTATTTTGCTTTCAGCTCAGCATTCAAGCTTATCAAGTTCACTCTGAATCTTCATTCTGTTTTCCAGAGTGTTTGCAGTTCCATCCAGTTTTGTCTCATCTACAAATCTGATCATTGTTCCTTGTGCTTCCTCATCTAAATAATTAATAAAGTTGTTGGAGAACATGGGGCTTAGGATTGAACCTTGCAGCACCCCACTAATTACCCTTTTCCAGTTTAAGAAGGTGCTGTTGATGAGTTGTTTTTGTTGATTTTTGAAATCCCTCACTAGTCTCATTTCATTTCCTGCTTTAGTTTTTCTTGCAATTCCTTGCCGTTTTATTTCTTCCTTTGTGGCCTGGCCTTCCTTCCACCTCTTGTACATGTTCTTTTTTTTCTTTCAGGTTATTGCTTAACTTTTTGTGGAGCCATGTGGGCTTCCTGTTATCTTCTACACTGTTTTCTTATTGGAATTGTTCACAGTTGTGCTTAGACAATCTCTCTTTTCAAGATTCCCGACCCCTCCTGGACTTCTTTTCCTTAAGAGCAAGATGTCATGACACTTCACTTATCATTGTTCTGACTTGGTTATAGTTGGCTTTGTTGAAGTCCAGGATATGTGTTTGGCTGCACTTAATTTTTGTCTCCTTTATAACTGAGAATTCAAATATATTTTCCTTTATAACTGAGAATTCAAATATAGCATGGTCACTTTCCCCCAGGGTTCCCATGGCCCATATTTTGTCACTAGGTCATCTCAGTATTAAATTGAGGATAGCTGTTCTTGTCATTCCTTCCTCTACCTTCTGCTGGAGGAAGTTGTTGGCAATGCATGTTAGGAATGTCTTGGAAGGGCCATGTTTGGCAGAAATTGTCTCCTAGCATATATCAGGGAAACTGAAGTCCCCCATCACGATTGCATCGTTCTTCTTGGAAACTCTGGCAAGTTACTTTTTGTGGGTTGTGTTCTTGTCTTCTTTTTGACTGGGTGGTTAGTAATAGATGTCAATAGCTATGCTTTCTTAAATTTGTCTCTCCTTTAAATTAAGCCAGACACTTTCATTGGGACTAGTAAATTCCTTTCTTATATTTCTGTGCAGATATATGTGTTGCTTATGTGTAGTGAAACTCCACTTCCCTTTTTCTCCCTTCTGTTTTTCTTGAACAGGTTGTATCCATCAGTTATAGGGTTATAGTCATGCGAGTCATCCTATCAAGTTTCAGTTAATTCCTGTGAAGACAGTAATTGCTATCATGTACTGTGAGCACAAGTTCAGGTTGTTTGTTTCCCATACTCTGGGCATTGGTGTATAGATATTGAAATTCTTTTTTGTTGTGCTCTGGTTTTCTTCTTCCATTTTTTGGAAGACTGATGTTATACCATTCTTGAGGGTTTTTTCTCTGTTGAGATACATAAGTCTTTGTCAGGTGGTGACATGCCATGCTGCACGTCTCCTTCCCCTGTATGTTTCATTTAAGACATCCTGATGAACTTTTTAATGTAGGGGCCAAACACATGCTTTCTGTTCTTTGTGAGGTGCAGCCCATCATTTGTCAATAGTCTGTCCTCCAGGAACCTTAGCTTGTGGTTCCGAATCCATGTCTCTCTTTGGAGCACCACCCTTGTTGCCTGTTATTCACTTGAAGGATTTTTTCTTTCCCTATCAGTTCTTCCATGGTAGGATTGAGGAGAAAACTATCTGGGCCCAAGTGTTTTTGATTTTCCTTCTGAGAGCTTCGAAGTCTGATGTTATTTCATCAAAGCTTCTCCTGGTGGTGGTATTTGTTCTAATGTGGATGAGAAGGAAGGCATATTTGTCAGTGGGTTGTACGAGATGTGTGAATCTATTAGTTGTATCATTAACCTTGACTCCAGGGAGGCAGCACTTCTGGAGATTCTCTGGGTCATCGCAGCATATATATTTTTCCATTCTGTGCATCAGAAAGTCTTCCCCAACTAACACTCTTCTACCATCACCACCATTATCGTAAGCTGTAATGTTTCCCTTATGTGGTTAACTTTTATCCTCTTGTTCAACATTTCTCATTGTGTCATGAAGTTCATTCACAGCCAGTTGTTCTCCTGTCTCTTCTATTAGTGGCTGAAAGCCACTTCCAGGATTCTCTTCTTTTGCCTTAGCTTGCTGTGGCACTTTTTGCTTCTGTAATGCTCTTAGCTGTTGCAGTTCCACTACTCTGCCTAAAAACTCTTCATCTTCTTTTATATCCTTGAGGTGGACACTTGCTGCTTGAGTGCTCTTCACCCTTTTCTTTAGCAGGGCTACTAGCTTGCACTTGTTGCACATGTAGGCCATTTTGACCACAGGCAGGAAAAGAAACATTGCATAGACATTGCACCTTACTACCACTGCAGAGTCTTCTGAGTCCATTATTTCTGCTACCTTTTTGATTCTAGCTTGCTGGGCCTGTTGTAACAACCAGTGCTTCTTCCTGTCTTCTCTGAAGGTTAACAACACAGTCCTACCAGTAAATGGGAGGGTGTTACAAGGAGGAAAACAAAAGGGGAAAGAACTAAGGGGAAAGAGGAAGTAAACAGAATAAAGCTTTTAAAAAATATTAGGGACCTTCCCCCTTAACCTTCTCTGCTGAGCTCTATTGCCAAACTCCTGTTTGCAGCTTGGCTGCCTGAATCCCAGAGTCCCTAGACCAGTTGGGGCAGCTTCCTCTGATCTGCTCAGCTAGGAGTCAGGAACCAGAATAAATCACCTCACCCACAGTGATCAGGCCACTCCCTTTCAGTTGCAGCTCTTAGCTCTCAGGTTCACCGCCATCAGTTGTAGCTCTTAGGAGCGCACAACTCTAAACAGAGAGTGCTTGCTGGGCCAATGCAGACCCCTCTGTGCCTTTGTCTCATCTTCCACTACAACTTCACCACCAAACGCCTGTTCCCTCTCCCTGGGAACTAGGCTGCTTGTATCTCAGAGTTCCTAGAGCAGCTTGGGCAGGTCCTCTGATCTGCTCAGCTAGGAGTCAGAAACCAGAATAAATGCAATGTTCACTAAAAAAAAAAAAAAAAAAAAGCATAGTAAAACATCACTGGAATAAAGAAGCAAAACTGCTATGTGTTCTGTTACTATGCATTTATATATACATACACATTCATACTACTACCAGCTCTGTGTGCTACACTCACTCTCCTACTGGATATCACCCTAGAATCAGTTCTGCTGTTGTGTTTTGCTGGAGACAATGACTGAGACTTGTTTGACAGGTCAAATAAGGCCTGAGCAAAGAAAAGTCATGCACATGAATAAAATTCAGTTTCCACATTTTGTTCTGAATTCAGTAATTTGATGCCCTACCCACTCAAACTAAAATTTCCTAGTAATGATTTTGGTAATGCCAGAAAGAGAGTATGTCAGAAAAAAGCAGCAAAATATCTAAAATTCTCTTGACAAATGGTATAGATCTACCTTTACTTCATTCATTGGAGTTCTTACCACAGTACAACATTTGCAGTTCAATTTTTATATTGAAACAGTACTTCCTTTCTTCCCTTTTAATATTTCCTAAGGCATTGATTTAATGTTAGGAAAAAGCTATCAGAATGGCACTGTTCTGTTTATGTGTTAATTCAGTTATGGTCAACACAATAGGATGGTTAGAAAAAAAAGTAGTCCCGAAGGAAATTAGTGAGTGGGTGAGCAAGTGTGTGTGTGTAAATAATAAAAATGCAAGAAAAGAATCCAAAATCTGCAATTAATAATTAGCCTTATTAACACTGGCCAGAATGCCACAAGACTGCAAGTGTTCAGGATCTCCAGAACTCTCTATCAGGCTAGGTGGTATAAGAAACATGAGATAGGGAAGAAATAGGAAAAGATCAAAAATTAGGCCAGAACTTGTGCCCGTGAGGTCTGCAATACAGACTCGACTTCAAAATGTTTGTTTGTACGCATAACAATCAACTGATGGTAATACTGGAATAACAACATAAAGTCAGTGAACTAAATGTAATATGCTTTTACCATTCTGAAGTGTAATAAATTTCATCCATTTTAAAAGTATTGTATTTACATTAATCATAACATGTTTTTGCTTTTAGTGCTTCAGAGCCACGCCCAGCAGGCCTTGAGGAGACAGATCAGCCACCTTTGCCAGGAGAACAAGGAATAAATTTGGATAACACTGGACATAAGATTTCAGACTTCACAAACAGGCCACCAGGTGATAATTTTTTTTTCATAATTCAATGTACTTAGTGTATATAGTTGCATCATTTGCTATGCTTCAGTGATGTTATCTTTGCTATTAGCACTGACCCACAGTGTCCTAGCTTATTAGGTACATGGCATGTACATCACAACTTTCTGTACTGTACCTTAAAACATGTAAAGCATGTGTATCTCATACTTAGTTATTTTCACCGTATACGCACACTGTCAGGAGCTTCATTGTATCTCCCTTTCAGATGTGTACACAGTAATAAATAAGGACCAGACTGCTGTACATTGCAACACACATTATAGCACCATGCCTGCTGATTGTTTAATATGCTGTGGCCCTGACGCAATATGATGATTATCTTGTGCCAAAATCCTCTTTTAATTTAAATATATTTCCTACTACAAGACTAAATATTCTGCTGTATCATTATTTACACTTTGCTTTCTGTTCTGTTTTTTCAATGTAATTAAATTTTACCATTTTGTGCATATTTCTTTTAAGGTTGAATCTCCAAAAATTATTTAAAAATCCTGGTAAATAAGCTTCATTTAGTTGCAGCTGCTTAGAAAACATTTTGTTTGAAACTTAGATAAACAGTTAAGCTCTTTAGATCAGACCAACATCTACTTCAGCATCTTATTTCAAATAGTGATCAGCCACTTGCTTCCACAAGCAATGCACAGAGACAGCCATCTCCCACAGCCACTGTGCATCCCCTACCACATTCACAACAACTGGTACTTGGAGACCTATTGTCTCTGAACTCAGAGATTCCTGTTACATATTGTGGCAAATAGTAGTTGATAGAGCTATCTTCCAAATTACATAATTGTTGTTTTTAAGACTACCATCCATTGGGTTATCCATTTCTAATTAAACTGACTAATCTAATTAAACTGAATGACCCAAGTCAACAGGCATTAGTACATCTTGTGAGAACAAATTTTATAATCTCTTTTCTGCATTTTTCCTTAAAAAAAGGACAGGTGAACAATATACAGTATTTTTAATGTAGCTGCACCATAGATGCACTAGTATTACACTATTGGCCAGTTTATATTCAGTGCCTTTAAAAATAAATCCTAGCTTGAAATTTGCCTCTTTCACTGCTGCCATGAACAATCTTGATGTTTTTCCACTGAATTATCCATTATGACCCCAGCTCCCTTTCCTGGTTACTTGCTGCTAATTTTGAACCCATCAATAAATACATGAAATTATTTTTTAATGTGCAAAATTTTACACATCATAGTTTCTTAGCTTCTAAAAAAGATGGAAGGCCATTTACAAAATAAATAAAACAAACTTTGAAATAGTTAGCACAATTATCCATTAAAATACAGCTACCCCATAAAACAATAAAAACATCAGGTTTCACTAGAGAGCATTCTGCCGTTGGGGTGATCTCCAGTGAGGTTTTTTTTTCCCCTTGTTGCCATCCTCTCTTGTGGTAGACATTCTAAGCAGGGCCTCAGAAATTGTAAGGTATGAATAGGTTAATAGCAAGAGAGATTAGATACTGTAGTCACAAGCTAATGAGGTTTCATAAATTAAAATCTGCATCTTGAATAGGGCTTGGAAATAAAAGGTAGACAGTGCAAATGGAATGGCAGCCAATGGAATCGGTGTTTTACGCTCAGACCTTCTGGTCTTGATTATCAATTTGACGGCTGAATTTTGCACAAGCTGCAGTTTCTGAGAATTGAGGAAACCTCACTTTAGGTGCAGCAATTAAGCTGCAGGCTTCTTAGAGCATAGATTACTCAAACTATGTTATTTCAGGCCAGATAGTGGCATAGCTGGGCCACCAGCCAAAGCTTCTAGAAGGCACTCTGTACCTGTGAGGCCACCTGGGCATCCAGAGGCAGTGATAGTTCCAGCAGAAGCCTCAAATGACTATGCTGCTTTTTCAGGGAGAATGCAAACTCTTTCAGAATAGGCTGATTACCATTTTTCTTTTAATAAAGCCTCATTTGCTGTTTTGTTACCCATTCATCTACATTGGAGAGATTATTTTGGAGTTTGCCTCAGTCTACTTGGGAATTTTTCCATCCTAAACAACTCTAGTATCATCTGCAAATGTGGTTTATTCTACTGTTTACCTCTTGCTCCAAATAATTTAAATAACACCAGCTCTAATACAAAGTTGGTCCTGCTTCTTCACTGATACCTAGTGCTCTGCATCCTGTTCTTATTTATTTGTTTATTTAAACATTTTTATGCCGCCCCATTCGCCGAAGCCTCTGGGCGGCTTTTAACACTTATCTTTCCACATGGGACTGATATAAAATGAATAGGCCTGTACTTTTAAAAAAGCTTTTTAGTAGTTGACACCACTAAACCTTAGTTTTGTATTTTTATCTTTTTTATTCATATTGTATTTTTAATTGTTATTTTATTGTGGTTTATTTATCTTATGATCGTGAGCCACCCAAAGGTGCTGTGACACAATAGGCAGCATACAATTTTAATAAATAAATAAATAAAGTCTTGGTTCTACCTCTCTGCCTCATCTCATGATCCCTGTTAAAAAAAGGTTCTTACAGTCTCTTATAAGGAAGCCCATTTTTGTGAAAGATTGCATATTTGTAATCAAGAAATGCTTGTCTTTGTAGGTTACCCAGCTCAGCCAATGGAACAAAGATCACTTCAAATACCACCTCAGCTTTTGCAACATGGGCAGCAGCAGCAACAGCAACAGCAGCAGCAGCAGCAACAACAACAACAGCAACAGCAACAGCAGCCACCACCACCGCCGCTGCCGCCGCCGCCGCCACCACCACCACCACCACAACCCACATCTCAGCAGACACCAACCCAACAGCAACAAATGATGATGATGCTTATGATGCAACAGGATCCTAAATCTGTCAGGCTTCCTATTTCCCAAGGTGTCCATCAGCCTAGGGGTCCTCTGAATGTAGAGACTCAAAGAATGCCAATGCAACAAGGGGGCAACATGTCATTGATGGTTAGTCTGCAAGGTCCTGGTTCGGTACCTCCATCTCCTGATAAGCAAAGAATTCCAATGCCAAACAATTCAGCTCTGGTGAACAGTGTGCGGAAGATGGTATATACAGATAATGCACAGAACCCTAATAGCTCTCCCTTGAGAGAAGCTTCTTCAGTGCCCTCTGTTTCAGAAGGAAATGGGGCTGAAGTTCCTCCAGCATCAGGGCCTCAAAATAACATACCATCTCATTTAATAGTTTCACAAAACCAGCTAATGATGGCAGGGCCAAAGCCTGGACCTTCTCCAATGTCAGCTCCCCAGGGTGCAAGCCCGCAGCAGCAGTCTAATTCCCTTCCTGGCTCTCATCCACACCACTTTCAAAATGTTGCTACCACATCACAGACATCCAGACCTAAAACACCCAACAGGGCAAGTCCAAGACCATACTATCCTCAAACTCCTAATAATCGTCCACCAAGCACAGAGCCATCAGAAATCAGTTTATCTCCAGAAAGACTGAATGCTTCAATTGCAGGTCTCTTTCCTCCTCAAATTAATATTCCTTTGCCTCCTAGGCCTAGTCTTAATAGAGGATTTGATCAGCAGGGTCTTAATCCAACCACTTTGAAGGCCATTGGGCAAGCACCGTCCAGTCTCACAATGAACAGCCAGTCAAGCTTTGCTTCCCCACAAATACATAAATTGGACCCTATGACTATTAATTCTGGAAAGCAAACTAATGCTAGTGGGGCAAAGCGTGCTAGTCCAAGTAACAGTAGAAGGTCCAGTCCTGGATCCAGTAGAAAAACCACACCAAGCCCTGGGAGACAAAACTCAAAAGCAGCAAAGCTAGCTTTGACATCACAGCAGAGTCCAGCACTCATGCAGAACATGGACTTACAGAGAAATATGATGGTTGGTCCACCTTCTTTGCAAACACCTATACCTGGAAGTTTTCAAAATAATGGTATGCTTACTGCTCAGAACTCTGCAATCCCCATGTCTGGTATTATGACTGGAATTCCTGAGGATAACAAAGAAAGCTTCAATGTCTCTCAAGACAGTGCATGCCAAAATATGCAGCTTGTCCCAGTGAATAAAGATCATCACAACATTGAGTTAAAAGGTGGTCCTGGCCAAGATGCCAAAGTAATGGTTCATGAAGAGCAACAGAAAAGAGATGTCCCTTCTACAGAATCCAGCAAACTTCTCAGTCTGGAAGAAAATAACAGTGTTATTTCTCCAGCTATGCGGGAAGCACCAACATCCTTAAGTCAGCTTCTTGACAATTCTGGAGCTCCTAATGTTACCATCAAACCATCTGGTGTCCCTGGTCTTGAAGTGCCTCCAACAGTGACGTGTGCAGATGAATTTAAAAAGATTTCTGCCATTCCTCCTTCCCAGCAAGATCCTCCTCCTAGCAAAGACCCTATTTGTACTCTAGGTTTGCCTTCAAATATTGAAGCCTCTCAAGTGCAACAAGATCCAGGAGACATAAATTCCAATGTTTCTCAGAGCATATCTCCAGTCATACAGAGACCTGTTAGCTCTTCTATTTCAACATCACTCCCACCTAATCAGATAACTGTATTTGTAACTTCCAACCCCATTACATCATCATCTAACACATCAGCATCATTGCCCTCTCATTTACAGCCTACCTTAATGCCTACTGTTGTCACAATGCCTAATGTGGGTAATAAAGTTATAACTTCTGAAGGACAGACAGCAGTTCAGTCTAATGCACGACCTCAGTTCATTACTCCAGTTTTTATAAATTCATCCTCAATAATTCAGGTTATGAAAGGATCTCAGCCAAGTACAATCCCTGCAACCCCAATGACTTCTAGCTCCAATCTAATACCACAGTCTGTTGCAGTTGTTGGTTCTTTGCATTTACCCCAGAATATAAAGTTCTCATCGGGGCCTTCTTGCTCGTCTTCTAATACTTCTGTCTCCAGTATGCCATCAAGCCGGTCACTCATTATTAATTCTCCAGCAACTCCTATTCAGCTTCCTTCTCTCTCATCAACAGCTCCTTCAAGCACTTCTTCGCATCCTTCCATTCAGCAAGTCAAAGATTTTAATTCAGAGGAGATAAATTCTCAGACTTGTGTGTCTGTTGATCCATCCACTGAAGCAGCCTCACAGCCTGGAGCTGTGGTTTCTCCACCTTGTCCGCATAGCCCTGGATCTTCCATCAACAGAAGAAGTCCAGTTTCCTCTACTAAGGGAAAGGGGAAGGTGGACAGAATTGGTCAGTTTTTGCTGACAAAAGCATGCAAGAAAGTAACAGATTCCCTTGAGAAAGGGGAAGAACAGTATATTGTGGAGGGAGAATTAGAAGGTCAGGAACAAGATATTTCAATCCCTAACAGTCTGGAAATTGAGCAGTTACCTGTAGAACTCGAAGACAGTGCTGTGGCATCTCCAGCCCCCTCTCTCTTGAAACAAAGCACTTCTGGAACTGCCCATTTAAGTCCTAGCACTACTGCTACTGTTTCTGCCTCTATACCTCTAAGTTTACCAGGGAGCACGCCTTCCACCAATGTACACTCAGTGGTAACTACTCCTGTGATCTCTGACATCCTATCTTCAATTCCAAATACTAATGGTAACCCTGGTTGTTTACCAGCAGAGCAAGTTGGGATTGGAGCAGAGGATGAGAAAGCTGAAGCCCACAATGAATTACCACAGAACATGGGTATGTACTACTTTGAATACTTGGTGATATTCATGTTTCCTTCCAGAAATGCATCTGCAGCATGTGCAACATTCTGTCTCTAAGGAGTATGAATTAGAGTTGTGGGGCACAATGGGTGTGTTTGAGGCCTGATATGGTACAGTTGAAAACTTTGGGGAAAATGGTGTGCTGTGCAGGAGATCCGTTATTGAATACTTTCTTTTTAATATTGACCTGGTTCACATGTAACAGCAACCCTAAGTATGAGTTAAATCATGGACTGTTGTTCAATTGCGGATTGTTATGTGTAAATTCTGCACTCTGGCTTAATTATGAGTTGTTAACCACAAACTTTTGTAACCCAACAATAAACTATGGGTGCTCTTCCTGAGTTATTCATGGTTAACAATCCATTGTTAAACTGTGGTGCAGAGTTTACATGTAATGACGGCCCATGATTCAATACCAACCCACATACTGGGTTATTGTTAAAGCAGACCTAAGTGTAACAATCTTTTTAAGCACACTGTTTTAATAGTATTTCAGTCCTTTGCAAATGTCTCTGATAAAGTATCAGAGGTAGTAATATTAGTGATAATAACAGTGGGGATCTCTGAGGAATCTGTTTGGATTCCCCTGGAATTGGCTCACTGGGCTCCAGTCTGCTTTGCAGCAGCCCTGAATCTGAATTTCTGGTGAGTGCACGCAACAGGGAGCTTGCCAGGAATTGAACCCCATCCACTGTGCAAGCAGCATTTCTCTTCCAGGACACCTGAGTTACCCAAATGGTGGCAGAAGAGGGAACCAGCTAGTGGTCATGCAGGGCCATGACCAGCCTCCTTTCACATCAGGAGCAGCTGCCCAAATAGGTGCTACACACAGTACAGAAGAGGGATGCTCCATGCCACATACAGCAGCTGTTTGGGCTGATGCAGAAGGAGGTTGGTCATGCGAGCCTTGCCAGGAACAGAGCTCTGTGTGACAACTAGCAGCCTCCCTCTTCTGCACCAGCCACAGTAGCCTTTGTGCTGGTGCACCTGACGTTGAAGGAGGTTTCCAGCTGTGCAGCCTTCATTTCACAAGTGTTCAGACTTCCTCTCAGCTCAGCTCACTTTGCAAGACCAGCCAAGCTTGAGAGAAAGTCTGTGAATGCTAGAGGGATGGATTCCTCTAGGGTTCATCACAACCCTAAGTAGTAGTACAATGGTGTTTGACTGGATTATTAAGCAAGCAACACCATTGGCATGATATTGGGAAAAGTCCTTTCTAGTCTTTCAGATACGGAACATTCCCAGGTATTTAGTCCTAGAGCAAATCTGAGAATATGCTTATGGCTATTTATCAGGAAGTTAGCCTGAGAATTTTTTTTCTGCTAAAGTGTAGTTTGTTCTATAGCTTGTTCACACAAGGTAACAGCCTTCTGTGATTTCATATCCATGGAGGCTGTCACATCAGGCCAGGTGCCATTTTCTCATGGTGCCTGCAGCTGCCTGGCACTATGAGTGGTTCTGCCATGCAAACTTAGGTGATAGGGTTTGATGGTTAGACAACCCTCAGATAACTTTAAAACATAATTTAACTATGATATTTGTAAAAATCAAAGTCTGCTGTTAACCTTTGTGTTAATTTTCTTTTGTCTTCAGTGGGTCTAAATGCAATTTATACATATAACTGGCTTTTCAGGACATCCATGTTTATACTCTAGTTTTAGTTATCATTATTTTATGCTAAGAAGGCCTGGATTTTAAAAAAATGGATCCTTTTTAACTGTTCAAAAGATTTTCTGTATTTATTTAGAATTTTTGTATGCCGTCTCATCTCTTATAGCCTCGGGACAGCTCACATAAATAAATAAACATAATACAAATACAATTAAAACCCAGAAACACCCTGGCTGCACAGATATTATTAATCGTTGTTAAAACATTGTTTAAATAAAAAGGTCTTAGCCTGGCGCCGAAAAACAAATAACGACGGCGCCAGACGAACCTCTCTGGGGAGCGCATTCCACAGATGGGGCGCCACCGCAGAGAAAGCCCTCCTCCGGGTACTTTGCCTCCTGATGTCTCTCACGGAGGGCTCCCGAAGGAGGGCCTCTGCTGCCGATCTCAAGGGGCGGGAGGGCAAATATGGAAGCAGGTGTTCCTTTAGGTATCCAGGTCCCAAACCATTAAGGGCTTTATAGGTGATTACCAGTACCTTGAATTGAGCCCAGACTTTGATGGGGAGCCTGTGAAGCTGATAGAGGACTGGGGTTATATGAGAATAATGCCCAGTCTCCATCAGTAACCTGGCTGCTCTATTTTGCACCATCTGAAGTTTCCAGACTGTCTTCAAGGGCAACCCTATGTAGAGCGCACTTGACTTATATCATAACTTGGGACATAAATCAGTTTTCCCTTCAATGTTTTCAACATTATTTTCCACAATTACAACATCCATACCTTATAATATAATGGGAAACAGTCTGTTTTCTTTAGTGTTTTGCTAATAAAATAGCATTAGTGCTTAGTCTTAGCCTATTTTATATGTGGCTTTTTCTTTTCTTAAGACAAAAAGGTGCATTGGTAACTTCTGATTTATCTTGTTTTAGCATCTTCAAGTCAGATATTAGTTGCAACTCCTGAAAGTACCATTCAAAGAACAGGTACATTTTACTTTAGTTTTGATAATGCTGAAATATTTCCTAAGAGAATTAATGCATGCATAGAATTCCTTTTATTTCACATATCTGCAAAATTATTTTAAGTGATACTGGGAAGAGGACAGCTCTTTGTTGTCATATTACACTGAAGAATGTTTAATAAACATTTCTTTGGAGGGCAGGCTCTATTGCTTGAATTTCTTCCAAGGATAGAAAGTGTACTTTGGTAACTGCAGGTGCATGTAGTTTTGGGATATGTTTGTGAAAGGATTATTTTTTAAATAAGTTTAGAGAATAGTGAGATAGGGTCAGAGGATTTTTCTTAGAAAGTATAAAAATGTGCTTTAAATAAATTGGCTATCCCTGCTGAATTCTGTCGCATGGGCACCCTATTTTTCAGAGCATGGTCTGGAGGACAGAAGTTTATGTGGCTGGACAGTGGGTCCCCCACCAATTAGTCAGGCTTCATAGCAAAACCAGCTATATCTAACAATAAGAACAACACTGATCATAATACTTATTGCTGGATGCTTAGGCAGAGCAAAGCTGCAGGCCCCATTTACACATTAGGGGTATTCACAGAAAAAAGAAATGCTTAGGATAGGAAGACAATTTGCCTTAATCCACTTCAACCTTAGTTAGGAAAACCCAAATATGCTTCCCCACTGACTGTAATGAGAAATTAAAACATTGCTGCATCTTAGATTATAATTTGAGGACACTTGTAGGCACATTAGCCTCTTTGGAAGGGATAAAGCCTGTCATATTTCAGACAGATCAATAAAGGTAGCATTGTGTTATAGGTACTTTTAAGTTGATTTGGAGGCTGGCAAAATTTTTGGAAAGTTGTGGTGAGAATGACCTTGCCACTCCTGCTCCTACCTCTTCTCCAAGAAACTGCTTTGGTGCAACATAAATTTTGCCACATTTTTGCATCTTTCTTTATGAATTACTCACAGACTGAAAGAGTTCTAAAACAACAACCACAACACTTGAAATTAAAATCAAATGCAGGTGCAAGGACCAGAATGTGGGAACACTTGAAAAAACACAAAGAGCAAGATTTCATTAAAAAGTGGAATGCAAAGGACTGGATTTTTAGAGTAAGGAGACCCACTGTGATGTAGTGGTTAGTGTGTTGGATTGGAGAACTGCGAGTTCCAGGTTCTAGTCCCTGCTCAGTCATAGAGCTCACTGGGTGACAGTCAGACTCTCAGCCTAACCATGCTCCAGGGTTGTCATTGTGAGGATAAAATCAAGAGGAGGAGGGGGATTAAGTATGGCACCTTGAGTTCCCTGAAAAAGTTAAAACACTGGGATTTAAAATTAATTAACTAACTAAGGACTTTAGAAAGAATAATCCAGGTTGGAAAGTTTCTTAGGGAAGTATTGTTTAAGACTTACTCAAAGGTTTAGATCACATATCTCCATGACTACTTAACGATACACCTTTTCAGTATTCCTGCTCAGTAGAGAATAAAGCATCACTGGAGAGAGCCCCGATAACTTCATTCCCTTGCGGGAAGCTGGAACTGTCAGGCAGAAAACTGCACCCTTTCCTCATACTTTCCTTTTACGGAGAGCTGAGAGTAGGAAATGTATCTATTTTAAACTATGTCCAACTTTTTGAAAATCTTCAGAAACAGCCTGATTCAAGACTTAACTTCCTTCTGACCAGCTCTAAAGCACTCTGAACTGAGTGTGATCAGTTTTAGATGGGATCCAAAGTTAATGAATATATCCCCTTTGTACATGAAAATGTGGGAAATCAGAATTTCTTGGAATGTGATTTTTCCCTGAAAAAGGTAAACATCTTAAACATACTTGGTGTAAAAGTAGGCAAAGTTGCAGTTCATCTGATCTTCACTGAACTTCCAACCAGTTATGGGAACAGATGTAGAAAGATTGTGAATTGAGTATAGCAGACCTGTTAGAGTTAAAACTGGCCTCCATTTTGTTACATCAAAATTCCTATAATGCATCACCATTCTACTTATATCTGCTTGGAAGATATTGATGATTTCTTTGAACAGTAAGTTAGAGGCACTGAATTTTCTCTCTTTGTGTCTTTCAGAACTGGAAGCAAATTCTGCCATTATTTCTGGCTTAACGTAAGTAATGACTTTTAAAATGTCAGGAAAGAATTTGTGTGGAAATGTGCATATTGCTGTATTTGAGGTGATCCTTCATGAAACCCTTTTTCCTTCTAGCAATCTGCCTAAAATAGAGAAAACAGTAACTGAAGGGCAGATCTTGAGATAAATGGAATTATATCTAAATGATATTTTGCACCTTGGAGTTATTTCAGTTATTGGCATAAGTTATGGTTCATATAAAAGTAAGACTGTTTCCCCTTGGTCATAAACCAGTATAAGAACTGTGTCTTAAGGGGCTTAACAAACCAAAGTCTTACCTCTCCGTCACCTATGGTACTCCCCCAGACTAGAACTAAATATCGGGAACCAAGGACTATTTCCCTTCTTTCATGCATGATTTCTAGAAGATTGGAGGTGAGTTCAGCCTGGCTTTCCTGGAACAAGAGTGTTTTGCTTAAAAATAATTGTACTTGTCAGACCTTCAGCCTAAAGAGAATGCAGTGTTCCAGGCGTTCATCTTATCTGCCTCATTCCCTTGAAGGACTGACCCAGTGTGTTTATTAATAGAATAGCTCTGTCCTTGGTTACTTAAATGTTCACCTGCTAAAATTTCTATAAACACATGAAGTAAAAGAATTTAGTGCTCATATTATGTGGCCAAAGCTATCAATATTTTCTTCTGGCCTGTATCATGTGTAAACACATAGCTGTTAACATCTTACTTTTATCAGTAATGAGCCAAAGGAGAGTTGTGAGAAGTCTAAAACTCCAAGTAGAAGAAATTCACGAACAGAGGAGTCTTCAGCAGTGCAGGAAACTATAGAGAATGGTCAACGCAAGAGGTCCTCCAGGCCAGCATCAGCATCCAGCACTGCAAAAGGTAGGAGACAGTCTACGCAGCAAAGAAGCTGCTTTTGCATACAAATTGCACCGACTCTGCTTGCCTTTGAAGTTAAATTTAGTGTGATGCTTTATCACAGAGTTACATGGAACAGTCACATCATCTGGGTCGCATCATCTGTGATGGTTTTCTCTTTTCAGCTGTAGATTTTTCTACAATGCTACATGCAAGACTTGCAAATGAAGAAAATAGCTTGACAAGTAATTTAGGAATGTCTGACAGACAAGTATTTGAAGCAGGGGTGGGCAACCCATAGACTTTATGCAGCCCTTTGCTGCTGTCTGTGGGACCTGCCAGCCCCAGGGAGATCCAGCTCCAGAAAAATCACCTGTCCGTTGCTTCTCATAGCAATGGCAGCCCAACAATCCTGATTGGATTTGGATGATGGAGGAGGCTTGGCTTTCCTTCTATCCCCAGCAGTCCTGATGCAGCTGGGATTTGTTTTTCCACTGCTAATGGCAACAGAGAAAAAGATCCCAACTGGGATTGCTTTGGTGTGGCAAAGGCTTAACTTTCCCTGCATCATCATACAGTGATCTTGACAGATCTGAAATTGCTGGTTGCCTGCTGGGGAAGTTAAATCTCCTATCTCCCAGCAATGCTTGTGATGCTTAAACTGCTGTTGAAACAGCAGAGGGGATTGAGAGAAGCTTGAACATACCACTCCCTCAGCCACCAGCAATCCTATCTCAGTTGGGTAAGGAGTGGAGTTTGACACCTTCCTGTCCCTGTCCATTGAGATGTGGGTGAATGAGAGGAAGTGGATGTGTGGGGTGTAGCCAGCCAGCAGGCATTGCATCTGGCCCTTGGAGCCAAAAAGCTTGCTCATTCCTGATGTAAAGGATTAAAAAAGAGTTTCCCTCTGAATATGAAATGCAGAAGATGAATGCTTATAATTCCATTTGCAAAATTGATTTTGCAGACTGAACTGATTCAGTTTTACTTCTCAGGCTTGCCTGCAACCATCAGTTTATAAAAGCCAGCCCTTGTGTTGCATCACAGTAGTGAGATCAAGAAACAGAAGCAAGGGTAAGCCAATGCAGTTAAGAGCAGGCTCAATTTACAAGGGATCTCATGGAGTTCCATGTGGTAAACTGTAGTCTGCCCTTCCCTGCAGACAATAAGATCACCAAGATGAGATTAGGCTTCCCATCACACAGGGGTGGTCCCCTTTTTCTTTTCTCTTTTAAATTAATTCTTATACTGGCAAGTTTTGCATTTGAGCATTATATTCCATGGGGTGCCCTGGCCCCCACCAAGAGGAACTCTGTGGGATCTTCCAGAAGTCACCCTGTGGGATCCAGAGGTCATATACATGGATATTCTGCCCAACATGAGAGGCATCTTGCTGCTAGCAGCAGCAGCAGTAGCAGTAGCAAAACCAAAATGTTTTATATAAAAGTGCAGAAGTATCATCCAAGAAGGTAAAGAACCAGTTATTGATGGTGCGGTCCAAAGCACATTTACCTGGAAGTTTTAAACACAATGGCTCTTAAGTCCAAATAAGCATACATAGGGTTGTGTTGTTAATTACTCAGTATTTCAGTTTCATTCATAATTTACCCATTGCACACTGAGCTACTACAACTGGTTTGGGTTTGGTTTGCTTTGCTTTGCTTTGTTATTTTATAAGGCTTGCTTGAACTGTGAGATTTCTGGTTGCTGGTTCACATAGTAGACTATTTGAACAAATGTTCAGAGGAAAAAATAGAATGCTTCATATATCATGTTTTTCTTCCTTTCTCCGCTATTTTGTTCTTGAATGATTCACAAATAATCTTTCCAAATTGCTTGTCTTTCCACAGAAACAAATGCCAGTGCTATGCAGACAAAAAGAAGAAAATCCAAATGAATTACTGAGTATATATGCAAGGCTTGTAAATGTGTGAATTTCATCAATAGCAGTTCTGAGCTGTGATTTTTTGCTATATATAAAAACAAAAGAAATCCTAAAATGCTGTATAGTAATTCATTTTATTATCCTGTTACCAATAAATACAAAAGGTTTTTTTTCCTAAAGACTTAATGATGGAAAAAATCAGGTTATTTGTTAAATTATCTGGTTTTGTAAATTCCACACTAAGCACACTAGATTTAGCATGTTGTAAAAAAATCTGAGGAGATAATTGTAAATTTATTTCTACGTTTTCACTTTTCATAGGACAAATTAGAATACAGGGTTGTCATTTTTTAGATATTAAAATAATGTATTGTGCCGTTGGTCAAGTACTGTATGTGAATAGCAGTTAAAAGGGTTATATATGGCCCAGTCTTGGAAATGTAAATAGTTTTATTATATAGTAGGTTTGATGTATTTGCTGTAGAAAAGGACCAGTGAAAAGAAATGAAATGGAAGGGTTTGTGATATGTGGATTACCTAGTGCTCTAAATAAATGTCATTGACCTATATTTTGTATTGTATATTATTTGGTATCTGCATCTTTTTGCATGGGGATGAGTTACTCAAGCTCAGGAACAGCAGTATGTGAGAAGTATCCAGGGATTTCATTGCTTTCTGATTCAGCAGCTGCTAATACCACCATGACCATGTTTTAAAGCAATGCTTTTAAAAATGTGATGAAGCAACTGTACTCTTAGATAACCTAGTGCAGATCTATTCAAATCGTTCATTTCTCAGTGCATCATTTACCCTTTCTTTTCCAGCTTCTCACTTTCAGCCAGACCTGTGATGCTATGGAACCAGAATATAGATCAGAACTTTATCCTGCTCCAAGTAACTCTGTACCCCTGACTTTTTTTGGTTCATGCTGAAGCCCACCTGAGCTATGTTCTATATTTTGCCAGGGAATAGAGTTGTTCTTGCTTCCCAGAAATTCTTTTAGGAACGCTTAGAATACCTTGAGCCAGGGCTGTTGAATTTCTTTCAGCCCAAGGCCTGAATTCCATTTCAGAGAAGCTCTGGAGGAGTCTTATGCTATTGTTGAATAGACAAGTGGGCAGATCTGGAAATAACAGCATATTTTAATTCATTACTTGCTATTAACCAAGCCTTATTAGAGGTATCTCGCCTTTAAGACTAGGGCCAGGGTGCACAATTTTCAGGTTGGTGGTCAGAGAAGGGCTAGAATATGCCCCTGAGCAGTATTGGAATTGGCTTCTGGGCCTGAGATTCTGGACCCTGTATTAAGGGCTGTGGAGCTAATTGGGCTCATATATAACTGCTTAAACTTTGGCTTGTGAGTCACATTATGTCTCACTAATATAGGTTTTCAGATATTTTGAAAGTTTGCTGTAAAGACTGAAAATATGCTTATTTGTAAGATCGTCCAAGTTCTGACTCCTTAGCTAGGTAAACCATTAGTTTAATTATGACTGCAATCTTATAACCACTGAACTCATGGATTTTTTTTCTGAGGAGACTGTATAGGACTGTACTATAAAACATGTTAAATGTCATGACTTCTAAGAATTCCATAAATTCCACATCAGTTCTGGTTTAAATATATATTTTTATTTATTTTGTGTTTTTCCCATTATATTAAATTTCCTATTCCCCAAAGGACAACATTACAGTCTAAAAACCAAAAACATTACTTACACATAGGCACACCACAGAACACTTTGAGGCAATTAATGACCTTTTCTCTGTCATCACATAGCAAATGTCTAAACTGTGCCCTACTAGCAATGGGATTGCTTCTTTCCATTAGCCATAATTTTGCCTCTAGCAGGTGACACTCAAAAACAAATTTTGTTTGAACTGTGTTTCCATTCTAAAATATTGATGATGTAGAAAATGTTGCCGAGTGTAGAATTATTTTCCTCTGGTTGATCCCCTAGTGTAATAACTGGCCTGCTATTGCAAGGCATAAAACAGATAGAATCTGTACTTTAAAATCATGCATTTGTGTGCACACCCCTTTAGCAGAGCGGTAAGTGAGAATTATTTGGAATTAATTTGCCTTGAATTTTTCTGCATTTGGGCCTTTCTTAAGCATGTGGATTTAAAATGAAATCCTTTATCTTTGCAAGTGGTCTTATTTCAGCAGGGAAATGGGGGGTGTATGGCTAAAATAGAATCAATACTATGTGAATGTATTTTAAAAGAGGTTTCAAGGCAGTCAACCAAATAGCATTCTTTGTTTCAGCAAGCTTCAGACAGAAACAAAGGTTGGCTATCCTAACTCACTTTTGGCAAAATGTTGGTGGTAATTATGCTGACATTTTAATACTGTTGCTGGCTACTAGGAAATGAGTGACCAGATCCTGTTATTCTTTATGGTTTCATCCTATGAAAACATGCATAGGTCCATTGTTGGTTTCTCTGCTGAAGTCAACAATTGCCGTTTTCTGTTTTAATCAAGCATTGTGGAAACTAAATAATATGTTTTTTGGTTTATGCAAGATTATGCAGGGATGGCTCTGGATGCTCAGTATGTATGCTGTGATCATGATTAAACTTAGCTATAAACTGATGACAGCCAATCTTTTGACATCTGGAATTATGTACCTTTAGTAATTGTTTAGAAATGGCAGTACTAGCTTGTCATATTACAGTATTGAAGGTGTTTGAAATCCTGCTCATATTAAAATTCGCCCAGCTATGTTGCTAGTGAAGGTACAGAAGACCTAATGGTGAAAGGCTGAGCACTTGTTATGTAAGATTTTCTCTAAGAGTCTTATTATGAACATAATTTACACTAGGAAGAGTCAACAGAACAAGAACTGTAATTCAGTAAATGTTCTTTTTGCTAACATGCACACAATCATTCATGGCAAATATTTATCAAATCAAGTCCTTGAAAAATCTTGGCATTAAATTTTAAAACCATCACATTTCTATCTGTTTAATTTTCAAGTATCATATCCAGTCATTTTTGTGTTGTAGGATATTAACAGTGGTGGCCTAAAGTCAAATTCTGTTACTCGGTTTGTGTACATTGTTCTGTTAAAGGGGAGCCATAGCATGTCAAAGTGGATGGGAGAGGCCATGTTAGACATGAAGAGTATGCATTCAGAAGAGAAGTCCTAAGAACAGAACACCTAGCTAACAGGATGGGTATATAGAAAAGTTAAATAGTGTACCATTCAAATGCTACTTGGCAGATATACTTGCAATATACTCAGAAGGGGCTATTTTGTGGTAAAAAGTTGTAGTGTAATGTATTATTTATCATATGGAAAAAAACAAATTTGAATCTTAAATATATGGTCACTTCAGTGAGACTTAGTGCTGCAAAATTAGAATGTAATCTGATTGTGGAAAGAAAGTGTAGCCTTGAGGGTATGTCCCTACTTTGTCTTAACATTTCTTTAGTAATTAAAATTCATAGGAGAGGTCTGAATAGCCCCTTCAGCTTTCCAGTCATCTCTCCCACTCCCATGGCCTTGCATCCTGTCTATACATTTCCTCTGTTTCCTCTGGCTATAAATGGAATTTCTTCAGCCACAGTGAGTAGCAAAGTATACTTCACATCGGGATGTGTATGCTTTTGTATGCTTGTATGCTTTTGAAAAAGTATAGGGTAATAAATTACCATTTTAATTTGTGACACATCAAATGTAATTTCTAAATTTCATGGCAGACTACAGGGCCAACCATACCATTAATGAAACAGCTGCCTAAGTTAGCAGCTGCTGGGGGTAGCAGGAAGTATTGGAAGAGATCACTGGGTATTCTTGCGCCTGCTCTGTTCACTGTAAGTTGTCCTTCCAGGTGTTCTGTCATCAGTGTTGAAGACATACTGTATTTTTCACTCTATGAGACACACCTGACCATAAGACGCACCTAGTTTTTAGAGGAGGGATCCATGGAAAGCTTCCTGATAATCACAGGTACATTCCCCATCACTTCCCTGTGGGCTTCATTAAAAGACGGGTTGCCCTTTGAAAACACACACCGACCTGTGATTAACAGCTCTCACCTGCACCGGGGGGGGGGGGGGGGAGCAGGGCGCACCAAGCGTGTGCCAGCCAGGTGTGGTGCAGCCGGGCCGGCAGCGTGCCGGCGGTGGTCTTCCGGGCGGCACGGTGGCAGCAGGTCTTCCCGGGCGGTGGGGGTGAGCAGTCCGTCTGTCTGTGTGGCCAGCGGGTTAAAGCCCGCGGCTCCTCCTCCTCCATGGCAGTTCTTCCCGGGTGGTGGGGGTGAGCAGTCCGTCTCTCCGTGCGGCCGGTGGGTTAAAGCCCGCGGCTCCTCCGCACCGCTCCCCCTGAGTGGCACAGCTCTCACCTGTGCTGGAGGGGGGGAGTGGAGCAGTGTGCGCCGAGCGCATGCCAGCCAGGTGGTGCCACGTGGTGCAGGCAGGCAGCGGCGTCCCGGGCGTCGGGCACACACACATTCGCTCTATAAGACGCACAGACATTTCCCCTTACTTTTGAGGGGGAAAAAAGTGCGTTTTACAGAGCGAAAAATACAGTACTCATCTGTCTGTCCACTCAGCTTTGGAACATGGATTTGGAGGAGGATGTATCCATCTTGTTTTTTGCCTCACCCAGCAAAATGGCTTGGGCTGGTCCTGGCAGTCAATGGCTAAGGAAACATGTCTTCTTCCCGTTCAAGAAACAAATGTATATTCCTTCTGTTTGCAGTTGCAGACAACACTCCAAATTTGTGCAATTGCCTTTGGATTAGAGCAAAGCTGTAAAATCTTAATGGGCCCAAGTCTAGCTTATACCTGGTACACTTTTAACATCACCACACTAATTAGTGGCTCTCACACAGCAGTATTCAATACAGCTAAATGCCATGACTATCCTAATGATATGGTCAGCAATTGGAATTTAAATAGGTGCTTTAAAAAGTAGAAGAATTGAAAAGTTATAAAGGCAAGTTCTGAAAAATGTTCAAGAGGTTCAGAAACGCTTGATATTTTGCGGCACATTTCATTGGGAACTCCCTTGAAGAAGCCATGTCAAAATATCAATGTTTTTAAACAGAAGTTCCTGGTGAATTGTATTCAGCTGCACTCATTCACCCAGGCAAATCATTCACAGGAGCAGGTTTATTACAAACAAGATCTGAATGCAAAATACCCAGTAGACCAGTGGTCAGAACTTGTGGTCCTCCAGAGGCTTAGTCCTACTACTACCATGATCCATCACTATTGGTTATACTGACTAGGCCTCGTGAGAACTGTGGCCCTCCTGATGGTTTAGCCTACAAGTTGTTCACTCATGCAGTAGATGTAGATGCACATCCTGAGGCCCATTTACATCCAGAGTGCTCATCTAGGCCTCACCTTGCTGCCAGGAGGATGTTTTGATGTAGATGTGCATCCTATTGAGGATGCAAGAGCGAATTGGATAGCTGGATTTGGGTGACAGTTTTTAATGGCTATGGTGATTCTGAAACCTTAGATAGTTGAGCATAAGGTGTTATATATGGGAGCCATCTGCTGCTCTTGGACACAGCAGTTGTGACAACAGTACCATGTCACAAATTACAGTGTAATGCCAGCACTAGGGGGAAATCCGCTTAGATAAATGTTTCAGTCCTATGTTGGAAGATTTCTTTGCAAAATCCATACTTAAGAGATTTGCCATTTGGAAACCTCCTTATGGTTGACTTACAGTATTACAGTAGAAATATAATTTTAAATACTATGAATAACTATTTAAAAAATAAAAGAATCTTGAACATGATTGGTTTTGAAGACAACTTCAATTAGAAAGGAATGGCTCAATAATATATAAAAACAATGAAAGGGTTTGTGTGTAACATCAAACACAGCATATGAGTTGTTGCCTTAACCACAGTTTTTCCCATGATTTGTCTGCTAGATACAGGTTATTTTTTTCAATTCCTGGGTTGTTTGATTCACTTTTCCTCCACATAATCCCTCCCTATAGCCCAGTTGCCTTCATTGTGCTGTAGGACTGGCTTGTAGAGTGCTAAAGTTTTTTTTCTTGTAAACCACTCTTGCTCACTACGTTTGCAGCTAGGAAAAAACAAATCAAAAATCTGAACAATCCATGATTGTGTGTTCACACATAATAACAACCTAGAGTTCACATGATAACAAACCATGGTTCTCTTCCTTTGTCATTGATGGTTCTCCCATAACTTCCAGGCTTGCACATAACAACCCAAGATTCAAATACTCATGCTCTGGGTTAATTGTGAACCAGGTCTGTGATTTGGTAACTGAAAACCAAAATTGAGCATCTGTCACTCCAGTGGCAAAAACAAATGGATTATTTTGGCTAATTCTTTTCCTTGTGCTTGTTTTATTACTCTGGCTTTAATTAGTCGCAGGGGTTCTGAATGCAGCAAATGTGTGAAGGATTTCCTGGGGTACGAAGTTAGAGCTTGACTGATTTTTTATTATATAACGGACCTTACCATTTGTAGATTTGCAAAAAGATGTACGGACATACCAATACTACCTATTACATTTAGCTAGTGCTCCTACACTCACTTATCTGAGAGTAAGCTGCACAGAACTCATTGGGACTTATATCTGCATATACATGTACACGATTGTACTGTTGATTATCCCACTGTTTACTAGTGGGGTGGGTAGAATTGAAGGTATGGTACAATTGTGCCCTGCCAGATATTTTACCCTGCAGCTCCTATCTTCCTTTGCCATTGATCAAATTGACCAGAGCTGATGGGAGTTGTAGACCAAAATACTTGGAGGGCCACAAGTTGCCCATGCTTGACTGTTGATAGCCTCAATTCTACTATGACATGAGGGCTGGTCTATTGAACTAGGCTTTTGGTTCTAATATTTAAAGTCAGGCTAATTCATGTGCTGTATGTATAAAAAGAGAAGAGAGTGATGCAATTCCCTGTAATGTTTGGTGCAACCCTAACATTCCAATCCTCAGTAGATGTGCTCTGGAACGAGTTTATTGGACTGAGTACTTAGTAGCAAATTAAGGCCTGACATGGAAGGGAGGCATGGTTGGGCACTTGCCAAGGGCCCACATCCTATCAGGGCCCCATGGTCACTCTGCTGTTTCTCCACTCCTTTTTCACTTGCCTCTTGCCTCTTGCTCTGGCCTAGACAATGGCAATGCAGGAGGCTAGGAGGAGCAATACCTGTTCTGCATACCTGCTCACTGGTGCAGGTCTTTGGCTGACAAGCAAGCAAGTGGTAGCAGTAATGAAAAGGAGAATGAAGAGAAATAGCAGCTGGCAAGAATGGTGGTGAGAAAGCAAACTGCAAGGGAGGCCCATTGGGAGCTCCTTACCCAAGGACTCTCAAAAAGCACGAGCTGGTCCTGAGAGATTTGTTTAGGTTTGTGACTTCCTTCCCTTCCTGCACAGGCAGCCAATATCTACAGAAGCTGGCAATACACAAAAACAAAAGCAATGTCACTGTAGCTGAGGAAATCAATGTCTCTCATAGATATCACCAATGAGCGATTTCCCCCTTCCCTGCTTTTATTTATTTTTAGCATAAATAAATTAGAACTAAACAAATCAAATGAATGAATGTGGAGGTACCCTTTCCTCATACCATATATTGCAAATATCCCAGAATATTCCCTATCAGGGAAATTCTGCCTTACTCCCATTGAAATCAATAGCAGGCCAGTGCTCACCCACAATTTGTAGTTCAGTAATAGGCTCAGCAATGGTTTCCCTAGGACACAGGCCTTTGCCCACTTTGTTTCCCATAGTGCTATCACAAAAAATATTGCTTAAATATATCTATATATGTCTGCATCTATATAAAACAGTATGGAAAACCTCTCTAAAGAAAGAAGTGACTTACAAATGGCTATTCTCACTCGGTCAATGCATTATCCACATACACTCAGTCAGAATAGCACAAAATGGTTCATGCTGCTATAAAAGTGGCCACATCCCCACAGACTGGCTTTAATTCTGTTATACAGTTAAACCCAATGGCAATTCAGGGCACAACTATATACAAGTTTAAAAGGGAAAACAGCCTAAAATTCCCAGGTGGCTGGGCCTTTTTGCCTGTCTAGATTTGTGTAATATTGTACCTTAAGTCTTTTTCCCTTCACTAAATGGCAAGAGCTTGTTACAGAGAATGTTACTCAAATTATTCTGGGGGAGATTGGATATAATTTTATAGCAGTTTTGCCATAATTTTCTTTTGGACATGCAGATTAATATGAACAGACTCACACATACCCCCTCCCTCACAAATACAAACCCCAGGACCCTCCATCCAAATCATACAGTTCTGAAACATGTGTCTTTAAAGTAGCACACTTCATTTTGTCCCTGAGTCCATGCTGTAAATTTTCTCTATACATTTTTTAGAAAAAGATATTAGTACTCCGCCTATTCCATTAAGGAAGCCATTACAACAATATTCCAGCTAATTCATTCAGAAGCATTGCACAGTTTAACACAATTTTAAAATGTTGAGTAATAAAGAAAAATGCTTACATCTTCTCTTTGTTGTAACATATTTACATTTGCGTTTACACCTATACACAAACACAACCACACACAAGTTAAAAGTTCAAAGCACCTTTCCTTCGGCTTAACATTGGAGGCTCTAGTACAGCTGGTGTTTTTAAATACTGTTGTTGGAATGGATTTGCTGAATGGATGGAGACATTAGATGGCTTTTCTCAACTAGTTGTCATAAAGAAACGATACAGACATTCTGCAGATGTTTTAACTGACAATGCTTATGAGGTGTGTACAAAGACCCAATAATACTTTAGCGTTTGACTTCTGAAATTTGCACTGTAATAGGAAATGCTGTATTTACAATAAGTTAGAGTTCCTTTTTTCCCCTTAGAACATGGCTATAATGTTCAGGAGGATTATTGTCTCCAATTTACATAGGAAATTAATTCCAGGCCATATGAACAGCATTAGGTGAATTTCTGTTTTCTGAATTCACCTGTAATGCAGACACCAATTCTAACTCTCAGGACCTGTGCACACTGTTCCAAGACCTTAGGAATCTGGTTATGTTTCATACTTTGGGAAGCATTGCCACTTAACTTTGAACTGGTGTACAAATCATGGCCTGGATGAGAAAAGGAGAAAGCATGGATGGCTACACTGTTTATTAATTCAATATTTGTTATTAAAACAGAATATTTTTTGAAAGGAAGAGGAAATGCTAATTACTTTCATTGAAGGTATTGCTTTTTCAGGAAGCTTTGCAGCCTCATACAAAACTTTTACTGCCCGTTCTGTTTTAAAAACCAAAGAACTGTCTTGCTGAACAGACCCTCTAACATGTTCATCTGTATCCAAGAGTAGCCAAGCAGCACCCTGGAAGCAGTTGCACTATGGGCAGTCCCACTATTTGCCCTCGGTATTTTTGGGCACGAAGAGGCAGATGCTGTGCTTCAAAGTACATGAAAACCTCAACCGTGTGTTTATTCTTTTTAAAGAATCAGTCTGCAGTGGGAAAATTTTGCACCGTTAGCCCCAAAGCCTATACATTGACCCAAGAATCTGGGAGCAAAATTCTGGGATTGGCACTCATGAAGTAAATGCCACTCCATGGGTCCCTTGCCAAAGGCCAAGCTCATGCTTTTTTTCTTGTTGCTGCTGTCCACCTCTCTTGTTTTGCACTGTTAAGGCACCAAAACCAGAAGATCTGCCAGTTCAAACATGCAGTCACTCGTGATGCTGTCACCCAATGGACAAACCAAGTGCTCCCTTCCTTGTGCTCTGAGAGGGAATGGTTTCATGATAGGACTGTCCCATGATGCCCACGCTCAACTTTTTGTCCCATATGTTTTGGTGCAACATACTGTAGCATGTCTAGACTTGTAATCAAATAATGATTTTAGTGTAGTGTGAAAGAATGTGGAACCTAGGCCTCATTGCTTAAAATAAGCAAATACTATGGTAATTCTCAAAGGAAGGCTGCATCAGTAGGAGGTACATAATGCTGTTGATATTCTGCTAATGTTTAGAATTCTGTTAATATTTAGAATGTGATCCTTAATGGTCCCTTTGGATACCTTATCACCAGAATTTGAATATTACTATATATATGCTAATCAAAACAGGAAATTCATCCCAAGCTAATTCAGAATATTAATTTTGAATGTGATAGTAATGTAATTAACATCACATTCAAAATTCAGGTTTCAATCACTTTTAATTTTCCAATTCTATCATGTAAATATGGGCTTCTGTGTAAGAAATTCCATAAGCAAAATTTGCTGAATGAGATTTTCTGCCCCAAATGTGTTTCAGTTCTTCAATTCTTTCATCCTGACTCTCCCCCACCCTCACAGAGTTGCTGTAGTAAAAGGCATTCAGTGTGAAATCAAAGAGGCAAATGGATGTAAACACTTCACAAAATTAAACAAAGTGTTAATTGCCTGTTTTAATAAGACACAGATGAAACAGATGTTGACCACCACCATGCTGGTACACACAACTCAAGTTCATACCTGCCAGTTCTTTCACTTTCCAAGGAAGTCATATGAGAAGTGGACAATATGATCAATAAAAACAATTGCTCCATTTAGGGTACAATCCCATGCCTTCTCGCTGTCATCTGAGGGGGCCTTAGAATTCTTTGGAGTCCCAGCACTGAGGTCCTCTGTCTTCAATGCTCTAAGGGCCAAGAATCTACCTTGCCACTCTTTCAGTTGTCATAGGTCCACCTCTCCGGGAGCTGAAATGTACCTCAGAGAGGAGGAAAGGAGTATGCTGAGGGGACAGGTGGGAGGATCATCTCTTTATGCCAGTTCCTGTTGATGCCTCATCCTTCTTCTCTCCCTCCCTGGCACTTCATCTAAATAGCTGGAAATGGCCATCCAGATAAAACATACAGGGCAAGAAACTGTCACAGCATCTCAGTTCACCCACTGGATGCACATGAGCCTCCATAGTCAGAGGCTTCTAAGTTGGGGACCATTGGACTGAATGTTTACTGTTGCGAAGTGAATTTGCCCAAGAACCAAGATCAACTCAATTGCCTTTGCTGGTCACATTCTCTGTATCTCATAGGTTAGCCTCGTGGCTTCTGGAGGAAGTGTTACAATCAGCACATATGATCTTCTACACACAAGGTATTTATTTTGTGCTCACTTATAGTAGCTTACAGCTGTTGAACACAACATAATCCTCCAGGGCCTTTCCCAGGCTTTGCAACCATTTCTGCATTTTTGTTTTTAAGATTGAGGAAAGTGTTCTGTTATTAGGGAAAATGCACCACCTTGTGTTTTTGAAGGAACCTGTAGAATGGCAGAGAAAGAAAACCCAAGAGTTGTGGGAACACTTAGAAGAGCTGATTAAAACTTGCAAAGAATCTAGAAGCAGAAGCCTTGGTAAAGTAGTGACTTAAAAGCCTCATATACAGAAGTCTCAAATTTGAGCAATAGTCTAGCATTTCCTTCAGAAACAAGAACCAGGCTTCCAACTTCTCTTTCTTGACTTTGATTCCTGGAGGAAATCTGGACCTGTTGCCAAGTAGGAGACAACCAAGTTTAGAGGTTTTGGCCCATTGTTCTTAAGATGCTCTACCCAGTGCTCTACACATGTAACTGGGTGTTACTGGTGCACCTTAAGCAGCTGTAAAAAGCAGCTGTTGATCCTAGATGGGGATTTATCATCAATTTCATTAGAATAAGGATCAACAGAATCAACAGTCTTGGGAACCCTTTTCAGAAGAGGCAAAAAGTGAGCAAATAATTATGTGAAGGTGGTAAATCATGAAGGAGGGCAAAGAAGTCAATATTTTAAGAGGGATCTGATCTCTTATTTATTTACCCAGTTCACTAACAGTTCCATTCAAATGCATAGCCTGCAGTTTTTGAAGGTATTTATGGCTGTCACCTTAACATCTTTTACAGCAGTATGGCTGGCAGACACTCAAGAGGGACAGCTTGCCCATTTCTCCATGGCTGGCAAAGCAGCACCTGTTGGATTTCAGTTTACAACACTGTTCCACAAGGTTTGAGGCCTGTATATCAGAAAGGGGAAAATGACACCTATGCCCATTGTGCATAAGTATCAAGACAACTGAGGTCTGTTTCTAGCTCAGATGGAAAAAGTTCTGTTCAGTTATAAAGGAGAATTCAGACTGGTTAGTTTAGAAAAATAGGCTAGGAGCCAGAAAACTACATAGGTGGTTCTACCAACACCCAAGAAGTTGTGCCTTTCGAACAGCAAAGCATTGCTTCAAAGGCTGTTTGGCAAATCAATTGAAATGAAGGGGGTCTCTGAAAAAAAGATTGTGAATCAAGGTGAGGGTTTGTCATTTAAAGAAAAAAAGTTTAGAAACACCATTGCCAAGATGTATGACCTTGACTCTGTTTAACTCCTTTGATTTAGCAGTTAATGGAGAAAATTTTGTTTCCAGGTTTAGGATGGTCAGAACATTAAATTCAGAAGAGTGTCAATGTTGCTCCTTTATTTTGAGGCGAAAGCTCCTGCATTCACACATTTATCAAGCAATATTAAGTACACTTTATGCTAACAGACTCTTCAGCCTTGGTTAATAAATATGGGAAGACAGTGGTCTTTCCTTTACATTGAAATGTGTTCTTGTTTCATTTTCACTTTTCTAACCTAGAATTTGAGATTCAAGACAGATGTTTATTGTCTTTGTTTAAAAAAAGTGTTAAACCTAACATTTCAAACTTACAAGTGTATAACTAGAGGATGTTCTTATATTTTATAGTACATTTCTTAGAGTATTGAGCAAGTATTTAAGAATTTGTAGACAAAATGGCCATAAACAGGATGTGGATATTCTGGGGATGCCGATTAGAAAAGGGAAGCATAATGACCAAAATAAAGGGTTTAAATGGAAGCAATTGCCCTGTCCTTTTGGTTTTCTTACATGCATTTCAAACGTGGTTCTGTTAAAGTGGGTAACTACAGAACTGTAGTACAAACAAATTACTCATTAAGATATCTTGCTCTGAGCAGACATCCACTAAAGCTTCAGATGACAAGTTCTCTATCTCATGTTCTAGGAACTGTACTTATAGGGGACACTAGAATTGAAAAGGCTTTCTTCAAAATGCAAGTGCATATCTGACCTTTTAGGGGCCATTCCTTCCACAGGAGGCAACTTGGGTCTCTCCAGTTGTTTCACATTTGGACTCCCATGGATTTCAGCTGGCAGAGCCAATGAATAAACATTGTGGGCACTATAAACCAAGACACCTAGAAAGCACCAGGCTGCCTACCACTCTTCTACTGCCTAAAGTCCAGACCTCCATATCTTTGGCTTACATCTGTCTAGCAACTTCAGATCCCATCTTCTCTGATCCTATGAGTCCATTGAGCACAGTAACACTTACTTTCTCGTACAGCCTTCTCCCAGCCTTCCAAATGTTTTGGAAAATGGGCTTGGTGAGGATGATGAGAGTGGTAGTCCTAAATCTCTGAAGGGCATCAGGCAGAAGGCTGTGATACTAGGAAGTGTGCATAGGATTCCAGCCTTAAGCCTTGTATTCTGTCTTCTACCCTTTCCCCTTCATCATCCAGCTTCTTTCAGTACCTTATCCACTGAACGTCCTTCAGCATTCTCTTCAACATACTTTACCTCTGCAAAGTTGTAAGCCCCTTTCTCTGTTGAGGTCATTGGCTTTAGCAATGCTAAAATAAGAATACTGATGAATTTGAAATGTTGTGTGGAGGATGGATACATGAATTAATTAAATTATGTTTTACCACTACTCTGGGTGCTAGAGCATGATCCAGCCAGAGTAAAGAATTTCAAGTCCTATTGAAACCAGTGAGAGAAATTATTTCTCATTAAACACACTTGCTATTGGTGTGTCTGGACTGCATTCATCCCCAATAAAGGTCCTCAGAACAAGAAGTTTCACACTTCTGTTCAGAATTATTCTTTTTACAAAGTTATGATAGCAATTTCCTTTTAATATGATAAAAACATCCTTTTACCAAAGATTATTACTATGAGCAACCTTATGATAAAAGGCATGAGAAGAAGAAATGCAAGTTTGATACTTTAATTCTATTTCAGGATTTTAGCTTTTAATTCTATTTTATGCTTATGCACATTCACATCCTTCTAAAAATTGCCAGCTCTTCCCACTGTGCTCTGCCCACATGGGTTTGAATACCTGATCATTAATCTATGGAGATGTGAATATTATTGGGAGGAAAAACTGTGTTAGCCATGCAAATAACCAGATGGAAAAAGTCTCTTCTGTGTGTATTTTGAAAAAGCCATTATGTGTGAACTGCAGCAAACAACTCATGAGCTTTAAATAATGCTGAACCTCTGCAGCTGGTAATTGCAGAAGCTCAGGATGGACTTTCAAAGGTTTTGCCTTACATTGCATGACATTTCTGAACAGAAAATTCTGGCATAAGCTACTCTCCATTTGAAGTTAATGACAAAACTCCCACAATTTTCCATGGAGTTGGCTCATAACCTGAATATTATGAAGAATATGCCAGGATGATTCATACCACCAGCTTCTGTATGGACTCAGCAAATATGCAATTTGTATATATTTTCAAGGGGCCTTCTATCTTGATACTTTTTTGCTAATCATTGAAATGGGACCTATTGGGTGTATTTATTGTTTGCATGTTCAAATTTGGACATAAACCTGGTATTTCCATTTCTGACATCACAGTCTATATCCACTGTGAAGAGTGTGATGTCATAAAGAAAGGCACTGATGTCACAGGCTCCCCATTGCAACAAGGGCCAAAAGGGAATGACAGGGCACCTTGTCCCTTCAATAACATTAAAAGAAAAAGAAATGTGATATATGCACTGGAAGCACCAAATTAGTCCAACACTGGTAACCGCTACAAGAGCCAGTGTGTTAATTCATGCTACCTAGGAACCAAGGAAAATATCAACACAAAGGGAAATGATCTCTCTTGGTAACCAAGATACATACACATTTTTCCAACACATAAAACCCCCAAAATATACATTGGAGTTTCAGAGCAGACTTGCAGACTTGTTCCTTTATGATCTGGTTCACACATAACACTAACCTTTGGATTATTTAACCGACAGTTTGTTGCTCTACCCAGACAGGTAACTGAATAAAGTATGGTTTGTTTTCTCACTCTCTGGTTGGTTTCCTTCCTTTTTTGCCTGCTCACTCCCTGTATTCAAAATGCTTTGCAGCACTATAACCTTGGCATGTAGAGCAGCTGTTGCCTATTGCATCTGTAACTTGGTGAAACAATCCATGAATAACCCATGGTTCTGAGTTCACATGTGATGACAACCCATAGTTTAAACAATGCAGACTTCCCAAGCCAACAACAAACCATGTGGCTTCCTTCTTGGTTGTTCATGGTTAAAAACCATGGTTTATAAGCAGCCCAGAATTCAACAACCTATATCATGGGTTAGTGTTATGTGAAAACTAGGTCAATGTTAGTGGGACATGTTGGGTTTCTTTAACCTTCAGTTACAAATCTGTGAGGAATACTAGGGAAGCAGGGAAGGTAGTGAAAGAGATTAAACCCAAAGAGGAAAATAGGTCATAGATCAGAAAATGTATTTGTTGCTAAAAGGGGGAAGGGGGGAAATAAAGCCCAAGAAAAGCCCCAGAAGAACTACCATTGGATGTTGCCAGCTCAGGAGAATGTAGGAGGTTCTCTCAACATTGGACAGGGGGAATGGGTTCGTTTCAGGAAATGGACGAAGACAATCCTTTCAGTTGAAAGCATGTGAGGAAGTGATGAAGCTGAAAGTTAAAAGATAATGCCCCACAGTGTAGACTTCCTGAAGTAGCTTTAGTAGTTGTATTGGCGCTGGCATGGTTGGTAGACAAAGCTGCCTTGGTGTTTGGCCCGTCGTGGGCGGCACTCTCTGGTGCGGTTCTGCCGCTTCATGACTTTCTGACTTAGCTTGTGCTTCTCCATCTGCTGCTTTGCTCTCTGAATCCGGCGCACTTGGTTGACCTTCTCCAAAATGGCAGCCTTGGTGGCAAGAGAGGTGGAGTGGTGTGGGGCATGGCGCTGCAAACGGCAATCAGGAACTTCACTGCACAATGAAAGATACACGTTTGGATAGGTCAAGACCTATTCAAGAGGACAAAAGATATATTGCATTCTCTAATCAATAGATCCCACGTGTGAGAAGGTGAGGATGTGCTGGCAAACCAGCAGACCGGCTTATCTGTTCCGAGCCCTGCTGTTCCCATTAACTGGAGGGCAAATTCTGCAGCCAGGCGCCTCCTGAACTTAGGTAGGATCACTATCCATGGACACCTAAGCCGTCTCATGTGAGGATTACATATTCCATCCAGAAGGGATGTGAGTGCAATGCACGCTGCACAAAGCCAGAGACACTCTTCACGGGAGCGCAACGTGGTGTTGACATAGTGTCCCTGGCCTGGACAGCAGCCAAGACGCCCCCTCAGACTGTGCTGGGCCTTCTCCCAATGGGCATGGCTGAGGTAGGGGATGGAGCACTTCGTTGCCTAAGGCAGGTTGCTTGCCCAAGCCAGGTAAAGTGCATGCATGGTGGAGCCGGTCCCCAGCCAGAAGCGCAGCTGGGCAAAGCAGGGGCATGCCTGCTGCCTAACACCCTCCAGCTTATGAAAGGCCAGGAGGTGGGGAGGTCATGCATCCCCCAACTGTTCCTCATCCATGTCCCAAAGTATGTATCCAAACGGATTAACTGGTCCCATTACCATTTTTCCAGCTCAGAATGAGCTGGGAGAGCCCACCCCTAAACAAATTCCTTGACCTAGTTGCACCCTGTCCCAAACATACCCTTCATGGATGTGCTCCTCAGGCTTCTCGCTCTCCACAACAATGCTGCCGGTGACGTACACAGACATACTGGGGTGTTCAATCAAGAGATCCTCCATGGGGCTGCTTTCCATGCTGACAGGGTCAGGACCTTCTGCAGTAAAACAGGGGGGAGGGGTAACAAACCAACTCTCGTCCATCAAGCAGGGGTCAGGCTGAGAGGGCACGGGCCTGCTGACACAGTCACTGAGGGAGCAGGGCGAAGATGTGGTAGGTGAAGGGGACCCATGGCGGCAACGAGAAGCACAAACAGAATCCTTCTTACCTACCCACCGCTCTTTACTGGAGGTTGAAGCATAACTATCTAATGAGAGACAACAAAAGTCACCACCCACACAAAAGGGGAACAGCCAGAACAGCAACAGAAATAAAATTCAACACAAGCCAAACAGGAGGAGGGAGAGGGAGAGGTAATCCCACAGTTCAAAGCCATGCGGAAAGTGGAGGGCGGGGGGGGGGGGGGGGGGGGCGCGGGTGAAAAGCAGAAGGGGGGGGGGGGGGGGGGGGGGGGGGGGGGGGGGGGGGGGCATGGTGCACACATTCAATATACAATGGATGGGGAGGAAGGGGTGAGGGAGGAGAAGAGAAAGGGGGCCATTATTAGTACAAATGACACCCCAAAGGCATTTCTGTAATATTGCATCCCAAAACCTTCCCTGAGGAGTCAGGGCTGGCCCAAGATGTTTTGCCACCTCAAATAGCTGCACCCCATGATCTGCTCCTCAGCACCACTTGCAATTGCAATGGAGCACCATCTGGGATTTGCTTTTCAGCATGCATCCTTTGCCACAGGGCCATGGACCCAGGCAGTGCTCCTCAGATCATGTGCTGCCCCTCAAACATGACTGCCCCGAGGGGCCACTTGGGCTGCTTTTGCAAGCAGCCCAGTTTTGCAAAGTGTGAACCACCATGCTGGACAAAGGGGGAAGGGTGGTGGAGGAAAGAAACGACCCACAAGCCAAGCAAGATGCTCTCCCAAAGTGGTTTATCAAAGCACTAGAGGAACACGGAGCTGCAAAGAGCATCTGCAAATACTAAATGTGCCTGATTCTCCTTCAGCCATCACACATCTAATGTATGCTAATTAATGTATACATAGCTAAAACAAATGACTGATTACAAAGCTACTTTCAAAAGAATAAAGAAAGATGTAATTGTGGAAGGAAATCGATGGCACAAGAAGGTGCAAAGAAACAGGAAAGCTGGTTTACAATTGCACAGGTGCTATCCTTCTAGTAGAGAAGGATAGAAAAAAGAGGCTTTCCCAAGGAGGCACCCTTTCTATCCCATCCCAGATGACCCAAACCCCAGTCACTGGATAGAGGAAAAACAGAAAGGCCCTTGTTATATTAAGGTGACAACCCTGCACATCACTGGGGGAGGACTAAGCCCCTGAACATGAACACTGCTCTCTTGATGGAGCACCATTACCCAAGTGTACATGCCCATTGAATAATTACATTGGGCGATACCCATTGGATTATTACATTCATAAAGTTCGAGAGTCAGAGAAAATATGTATTGCCATTGAACATAACACAGATCAGATTTCATTTTAGTCAGTTTTAAACCTTCATCAAGGTTCCAACTTCAACACTGTCTCTCAGGTCCATGTGTTCTGTACCTCAGTGCTAGCTTTTGCAGGCCCTGCTCCTCCTAGACTGAGTCTCCGCCATCTTGCTTCTCCTCCTGCACTTAATCTCTGAGACTATGCAGAAGGAAATGACCAAGGCCAGGATGCTGCTCCAGTTCCTCACTCTTGTCATGACCATCATGCTCATTGTGACCAGGTGAACTCACAAGTCTTAAGCAGAGACAGCAACATAGATCAGGGTTAGCCCACCTGTGAAGGAGAGGTGCTCACATCAGGCAGCAGAGTGGGAGGAGCAGCAGATTCTCCCAGATGCTTCCACCCGCACCAAAAGGGCCTCCCACTGTCACTGTTATCCTTCCTCCTCCAGCAGATGTTCTAGAGCGGCCTGACAGCTGCTCCCCCTTTGCTCGGTTTTCTGGAGCAGCTGCTTTCCTTGTTGAGAGCCATGTGGCTGGAACAAGTGGAGGTGGGGTGCAGGTGCCCCACCCTTGAGCCAGCATGGCAGTAGCAAAGTAATAAGAAGCATGGAAGAGGGGTGGGATGGAGGGCAATGCAACGGTGGCAGCAGAAGGCAGGAATGGCTATGATGGAACAAATGGAAGAGGTGACTTTTACGATCCCTTCCGGCTCTATGATTCTATGACACTGCATTCAGACATATTGATATCCCCGTTATTCAGCCTCTTTCCTTCCTTGGCCTCCATCTGTTTTCTCTCCCACTGTCATGATAAAGATTTGCAAGGTCATTTAGTAGGGGTCTGCCTCTGTTGCTTCTGTTACTGTATGAAACATCAGATAAATCTGGGGAGGGCAGCATGTGTGCCTTCAGCCAGTCAGGCTGACAAAACCCATAAGTCTCACTCCTCATAACCAATGATTAGGAATGGTGTGGTTGTAGGTCAAAAGGCTCAGAAGGCTACAAGCTGCCTATTCCTGTTGGCACATAGAGGGACAGGCAACATGGACTGGACTAGGAGCAGGGAGAAACAGGTTTAAACTGCCATCCACCCATAAAACTCATTGTCAGTCCTAGGCCAGCCACTGTCTCATAGGGTTGTTGTAAAACTAAAATGAAATTTGGTAGAGTGGAAAGAACCACATTTGCTCTCTTGTACTCCTTACAGTAAGAAACAGTATAAGAATGTACTAAACAAATAAAAGCACTCTGTTGTCGTTACTTGGCATCAAGTCATGATGAAGTCATTCAAAAGCAACCCTACGAATAAAGGCTCTCTAAAATGTCCTGTCCTTGAAAGCCCTTTTCAGCAATTGCAAATTCAAGGCTGTGGTTTCCTTTATGGAATTGATCCATCTCATATTTGGTCTCTCTCTTCTTCTGCATTCAACTTTCCCTAATGTTATTGCCTTTACAGTGAGCTTTATCTTCTTTGATATGTCCAAAGCAGACAGCCTGATTTTTGTCATTTTTGTTTCTCATGAGCTACATAGTCAAAATCTTTGCTGTAGTCTGTAAAGCACAGACAGATCTGAAATTCTTGGGGATGCTCCAGTAGCCAATGTACATTTGCTATATGATAGTAAGTGCCTCTTCTTTTTTGGAATCATGAACACATCAGGCATTTTTAACTCCATATAGGGTAAAAATAATAACAACAGTAATAGCCTTGCTCCCCACCCACAGAGTTGGAGGTCTGAAAGTGGAAAGGGAGAGTCGCCCTCACAGGCATCCCAGCACTGGCCTCCACGGACATTATGCTTCCATGTGAGAGAATGTAGTCTTGGACAGAAAAATATTTGCTCACTTTTGATGTAGAGAAAGAACAACAGGCTAAAGCCTATAGAGAGACACGGAAAGGGGTCTAAAAAAGCATGCTGCTGCAGGTGTTTGCAATTAGGATAAATTAATTTTCAAGGGAAATGAGGCTGCAAGTCAGATGGTGCATCTTAATTGGAGAAAAAGTGAGAGCAAGAGAGAGAGAAAGTTCTGTTGAGGAACAGGAGCCAGGCATTTATCAACAAGTCATGGCAGGGGATCACTTGGGTTGGAACAGATGGCAGTCCTGACCAGAATGACCAAGCTCCTTATTATCAGGGACTGAGCTTCTCCCTATGCGTCATAAAATGGGGAGCCTTGCACACCCAGAAATCTTGGAAGCAGGTCCCACACACTCAGCTGTACTCATTTGAAGCAAACAGGCAGCCACGGTGCAGATGAGAATGGCCACTGCCTTTCTACAAAAAAAAAAAAAAAAAAAAATTGCGCACAGTGGGCTCCTCTTGCCCTTGCTTCCTCCATCCTCTCTTCCCTTCCCCTGTTGTCTCCTCCAGTAGAAATGTAGACATGTCTTTCCCTTCTGTTATCTTTTTAAAAAACCAAGGGTGTCCATTTTACATTTTTATTTTATATTTAACATCCTAAAGATCAGTGGTTTTAAAACTTGTTCATAAATAATCTGGCGAGAATTGAATTGGTCAAGGTTGTGTATGACTCCACATTCTTTAGAGTGTTTACAATATAAAGGAACAGTAAGGAGCTCCAAAAGGAACTCCCTCAACTGTCTAAATAGGCAATTGAAAAGCAAATGCAGGGCAAGGTAAAGAAGCTTACAGAGATGCACTGGGGCAAACATACACATTTCTGGATTCAGACCTGGCAGTGACTGACCAGGAAAGGGGTCTTGGAGTCATGGTTGGTAGCTTGCTAAAGATGTTGAGCCAGTGTGCAGCTGCTAGGAATATGGTGAAGTCCATGTTGAGAAGTATTCAGAAAGGAATCAGAGATATCACAGTGCCTTTTTAGAAACTGATAATATGACAACACTTAGAATACTGTTTACAGTTCTGCACCTAACAAGAGACATTGTAAAGGTAGGAAAAGTGCATAAAATAACAACTATATGATCAGGGGGCTGGAGCAACTCCTCTGTGAGGAAAGTTTATAACATCTGTGATTGTGTGGCTTAGGGAAAAAATAGTACAAGGAGACAGGATAGTCAAGTACAAAATTATGCATGCTGTAGAGAAAGTGGACAGAGATACATTTTTCTTCCTCTCAATTAATACTAGACCCCCAAAGGGGTTATACAATGGAGTTGATTGGTGGGCGGTCCAGGACAAATAAAAGGAAGTAATTCTTTATATAGCACATAGATAAACTATAGAATTTGATATCATTGGATATGGATGGATATTGGATATAGCTTGACACTTTTAAAGGGGAATCAGACAGATTTATGGAGGAAAAGGCTGTCAATGACTACTTGTCATGATGGTTATATATTGGCTCCAGTAATAGAAACAAAATGCTTTTGAATACTAGTTGCTAGGGAACACAATCAGGAGGGTACTTAGGGGATTCCCATGGCATCTGGCTGGACACTGTGGGAACAGGATACTGGAAAAGATCAGCCCTTGGACTGACCCTGAAGGCTTTTCTCAATACAGAATGCATGCACTCATACATACATAGAGACACCTGTCCCAGGAACACTGATTTTAATGGGACCTAGCCTGAACATTTCTAGTAAACTGCTCAATCCCCCCTCTTTCCTCGCTCTGTAGATGAAATGATTTCAAAGGGTCATGCTGGGCCTAAGTAATTTCAGAAAATGAGATTACATTTCCAAAGAGTTCACAAGAGACTTGAGCTGGACTCTACGTGGTGGATATCATCACCAGGTCATTGGAAGGACACTATTACTGACTGCGGTTAGGTGCCCAAGTTATTGGCATAGTGAGGGGTCAATTTGATGTCAGACATCAAATCTGTGACTGGATATGTCAATGAGGAAAAGCTGTGGGGGTTTCTAGTTTGGATCAAAACACCAGTGCTGGGGTGGGGGGGGGGAGGGGAGGGCAAACTTAACCCTTTCCGCTATGCTTTTGTCTTCTTCTAAGTCTCCCTACCCTAAAGCTGCTAATAAATCTGCAGGGATAAAAGCTCTGTGTCATGCATTTATTTCTCCTCCCCCAATCCCTGAGAGGCTAGTAATAACCATTGGGGCAATTTAGCCAGGAAAACAGCATGATGAAAAGGGCTCAGTACTGTCTTCCCCAGAGCTCACCCTCTGATAAAATTCAGAATTTCCTGCATCTCTTTTAAAGGTAAAAATAAGCTGGGGGATCCAATCAGAAATCTCCCACATATATTATTTGTGGTTTGTAGCTTTGTCTGCTATGTGCTACCTCTCTTATCAGAGACTGTGTGCCTACATACACCAGTTCCTGAGGAACTTGGGCAGGTGGAACTCTTGTACCCATCTGGTGGGCAGCTGGTTTGCCACCACTGGGATGGAGTGCTGGAGAGAGAGGACTGCTGGTCCGATCCAGCATGGGTTTTCTAATGTTCTTAAGTTCTTAGCCCGCATCAAATTTCTAGCTTCTGCTTGATCATTCCCCTCATTTTTTATTTTATTTTATTTATTTATTTATTAAAACATTTTTATGCCGCCCCATTCGCTGAAGCCTCGGGGCGGCTCACAATAATTTTGTTTTCTCCTATGGTAACCTTCACAATCTGTAAAACCAGAAAGCCTTAGTTCCATTCCATTCCTTTGCCAGAGCAAGGAGGCTCAGTTCCTCTGCTGCTCCCACAGGTGAAAACACCTTTCCTGCTCTGGAAAGAGCCACCCAGTGACTCACTGCCACAGTCAGCAAGTAATTCTGAAGGTGGAAGCTCAGTAGATACCATGTTCAGGCTTATGCAGTTTCACTGCTAAGAAAGAAGATGGCAATCATTCAATCTCTCCTTGACAGGAGGAATGCAGCGCCTTTATTTATTTAAGTGGCACGGCTTCTTGCAGATTCTTGGCACTGCATAGCAGGTGAGAATGCAGAGACCAAAATATTTGCCAGCAAGCTTGGAGCTGCTTAAGCAGCAATGGGACATGTGTGGTCCTCTTGGACTACAACTCTCATCATCCCTTCCCATTTGCTAGGCTGGCTAGAGCTGATGGGAGATGCAGTACAACAATGACTGGAGGGCCATGTTTTCCCCCACTCCTGTGCTAAGGTGTTGCTATTTTTGTTTTTAAAAGTGGGCATAGAAGAAGGTGGCTTTTTGTTTTTTAACTTTTCAAAGATATGTCTTCCTGACCTAGATGAACCTTTCCCAGCCTGGTGTCCACTAAAGTATAAAACTGAGTGGGCTGCTCCTCCAAAGCAGTGCACCAGTGCCGGTCTGGTATAGTAGTGAAGAATGCTGGCCTGAGGCTCAGGAGACCAGCCTCTAGTCTCCACTCAGCTGTGAAACCATTGGGTAACTCTGGGCCTCTCAGCTTAACCCACTTCACAGGGTTCTTGTGAGGATAAAATGGGGTGGAGGAGGATTCCGTAGGCCTCCTTGGGTTTCTTGCAAAAGGAAGAAAGGTGGGGCAGAGATACAATACAATAATTATATTATGTATAATGATAAATATATGTTTTTGTCTCTGGAGCAAAATTAGCTGACTGGATCTGTCCTTTCCTTTCCCCATCCTCAGCCACATTGCAGCTAATCCGTGGCAGGTCTTCCAAATCCCCACCAGTAGCCCAGATGACAAGAGCTGGCCCACCTCTCAAACAAAAAGCAAGGCAGGGTTGGAAGTGTTGCGAGCGAGCAGCTACTGCAGAAGGAGAAAGCAAGAGACAAAGGCACTTGAGGTCCTTAGGCCTCGCAGTGAAGAATGCTGGCTTAGAGCATAGGCTAGCCCATCCTCCGGATGAACAAGACATTTCTTCAGAAGACTCTATAACCTGATACTCTTGCTAGTCCTCTTGTTGTCAAAGGAAGCAACAAAGGGCACTGGAAAGGTTACAATGATAGTATGGGTGAGATATGATGGCACAGATTGATCCTGGAGAGGAAGAAACACAAGATCACAGCAAAATTGTAGAAGACTGAAAGTCATGGCTGCAACATGGCTAGGGAGAGGCTCTGTTGCAATAGTTCTATGCTGGGCAAGCTTGTAGTTTACTTTCCAGCCAAGGTCCACCCTTGTGCCAGGATCTGACTGCAGAAGTGGAGCTAATTGGCTGGCAGCACTTGGCAGCTAACCCTTAACTCTCTCCACTTCCATTTTAGGCATGTAGAAGCGGCTCAACACTCAGCACTGAAGCAGCAAGAAATTTTAAGTTGGGAACAGATAAGTCAGGAATAGCCAACTCAGGAGGAAGTTTATGTTTGTTACATAAAACAGGCCCAAGGGAAAAGCAGTTGTCCAGATGCTGCCTTCCTTCCCCTTGTGTGCCGCTGCATCATGCAACCACATCCAGAATAGCTGGGGAAAAGGACAGGCTGGTAGACAGCAGGCAAACCAGAACTATTTACAAGTCACACATTAAAAACTCTGGTGGAAAAAGGAATCTAAAATCCACAGTTTAGGGAATACCTTCATTAGGACCAGACAAAACGCTACAGGGAGAAGGGACGACTCTGTGAACCTGTGTGAGCTTTTGGGTTCTTTAGAACTCATCAGCTAGGGGGCAAGAGTTCTGGAGAAATCCAAAGCTTGCACAGTTTTTTGTGGTATTGTGGTTGGCCTTAGACAAAGTATTGCTTAACTATGGATTGGGGTATGTTGAGGGGGGGGGGTGTTCCACTGGATTTGGGAGATTTTTTACTCATGGACCAGCAGGACAATCTTTGTTTCTTGCAAGTCACAAACCCTTAAAGATGCAGGGGTTCCAGAAGGGTTGAGAGGTAGCATTTTTAGAATATTACTCAGAGCAGCTGCAGGTACCTATGATTTCCAGATGCTATAGAAGAAGAAAAAGCAGGTGCCACCTGTCAGTGGTTCTCTGCCTGGCAAGCAAGTCACTGAAGCAATGATGAGAAAGAAGAGGTGCATTCACTGCTGGGGACCATGGTAGTGAGAAGGCAGACTCACTTGCCTGCACTTCTTGGTTGCTGCTTAGGATTGCTGGGGTCTTTCTGCCCCTCAGTTGTCACACTGCATTATAACCAGAGGATGACAAGGCTCTGCTTCAACTCCTCCACCAAATGGGAGGCAAAGACACTGGTATTTCATTTCCCTCAGAAATAAAAAATTATCATGGCAGAAATCTGGGCTGCTCATTCTCAGAAAGAAGCTCCAGTTTCCAACAGCAGCTATTCTGCAATTTTCCAGTTTGATGATGACGGTTTATCTAGGTCAAATCCGATGCTAGTGTATCTAGCATTTCTTACCTGGTAGATCAATAATGAGCCATCCATCTTCTTCTTCCTCTTTAGAAACAAAGGGCTTGGGTTCCTCAAGGTCCTCAGGAGTGCTGCTGTCACTGAAGAAGAGGCTGGTGAGTCGCTGGAACATGGCTGGGGAATGATTTATGAGGTGGATGAAAGATGGAATTAGTTTGTAGGTGCCCCTTTCAGTGCCTGGAGACAGAAGATGCCAATGATGAGGAGCAAAGGTTGGGGAAAGCTGATGGATGGTTCCTTCCAAAAGGCAGAGGAGCTGGTTGTTTTCTAGTGAAGTCCTAGCTGAGTTGAGTTACATATAGTGCAATCATAAGGTTCTTCAGTTGGCTTCAGTGCAAAGGCCTGCAAAGAAAGGAAAAATTCATTCAAGCCCTCTGAAAGGCAAATCTTTTGAATCACGAGGAACTCAGATGGCCCAGAGAATGGAGGGAAAGGAAACTATTGCATGGATGATCAAACTCAATTAGGTATGGCCATTTTGCTGGCCACCGCATTCTGTGTCTGCTGCCCTTTAGTTCTATCTCCGCTGGGCTGCCTGCCAGGTCCTCCTCATTTTTACTATATAAACCCCTCTTCAAAGACTTTTTCCTCTCCACTATGCCTGAGGCAGGAAGCTTTTCTATAGCACCTGTTTGCTTTCATTAATGCTCACCTACTTCCTCTCACAAACATTCAAACAAGTCCAGCTTTACTTCCCTTGCACATTGTTCTCTTGTTAAGCAACCAAGAATCTAACATGTATGTATACAAAGAATATGTACATACAAAGCAGATAGCCATACCATGAGCTCGGATTGGGTCTCTTTCTGTGCCACTGCCTTGGGGCTTTGGATAATTGCTGTCCTTTATTCCCTTTGCCCCCGCCTCAAACCACAGCTGTGGGAGGGATGCCACAGATCATTCATACCCTGGCAATCCTTATCTGTGGTTTTGTCACCAGCTCTAGCACCATATGAAGTTCTCCTGCCCCCTCAGATGATGCTACCCTTTCCTCCTCACTGCCCTGCATGCCTGGGACCATTTCTCAGAATACTGGTATGATCTAACCTCACATACTTCATTCAAACACCTCTCAGACCCACTTTTAATGCAAGCTGTGGTGCAAATTCCTACTTCCCGTGCCCTACTTCAGTCTTCCCCAACCTGGTGTTCTCCAGATGTTCTGGATTCAGTTCCTATCAGCCACAACAAGCACAAACAATGGCCAGGAGTCTTGGGAGCTGTAACCCCAAAGACCCAGAGGATACCAGACGGGGAATTCAACCGGCAACTTGGCTGGAGCAGGAGTAACAAGCAAGTGAGCATCTGTTGTTTTCTCTATGTTGGGCAGCAATTATTGTACTCAGTCAAGTGGAGCCAGGAAGAAGGTAGATCAGGATCTACCGGCAGGTCTCTGACTGATTTGCAGTGGATCAACAAGCAAGCACATGCAATTTCCTGTCATTTAACAAGGCCCATTGAGAGATCTAAACTGGGCTGTTGGAGCCCATGATCTGTAGTAACTCAGGTGTAGATTTGTGTCTGTGTAATATCCCAGTGTGTGGCTCAGTCAGCCACTGGCTCTGTTCCCTAAGCCACTATTTTGCATCTTGGTCCAGTTGGTGGCCCTTGGCATTCCAGTAAAAACTGCTGGGGACCCAACCTGGGATTTCCTGCATGAAAAGCATGTTGTTGAGCTACACCCCTTCCCCACATTTTAGGGTGCAAGAATGGAGAATGTTTAACCTCCTCTCCTTATCTGCTGAGATCTAGGGATTACTGTTGAGTGAGGGTTTCTGCAGGAGTGTGTATGTGGAGGGGGGGGGGTGAGGTCAGTGAAAGCCACTAAGGAGGTTGTTGCTTGCACTGCTCACAGCAGGAAACAGCAATCTCACAAACCAGGGAACAGCATGTTGGCCTCTCCCCTTTGCCCTCCTCCCACGGCACCACTTATCTGGTGGGCTGTGGAGAAAAGTTGGGGGAGGGGGGCTGCACAAGCAGTTTTTCCTGCTTCAAAGATTCCAAGGAAAGAGATCTGACCACTTTTCCAGGCAAGCAGCTCTCCTGTGAAGTTTTTCCCCCCAGAAATCAGTGTGCAGTTTTCTACCTCTGCTTTAAATCTATGTGTTTGTCTGTGTATCATGTTCCTCCACTGCCTCTGTTTCTTGGAGCCCACAGTGGCTTTGTTTATACCATGCTATCATCACTACAACCCTGTGCTGAGGGACTGTGGCGGACTCCAGGTCACCTCATGAGCTGACCAGGGATTTGAAATGGAAAGTCCGTGGTTCAAAGTCTAACATTCTTAAGCTCTACAGTACACTGGCTTTAAATCTGTCCTAAATCCAAGGAATAAAATGAACTGTCTCCTTTCTTACATCTTTTCAGGCATCTGAAAGCTGCCAACACATTTGCAAATGATGGAGGGACTTCAAAAGCCAGTTCCACATTCAGGGTCACTAAGAAGTAATGGCTCAAATCCCAGATATAGTACATTTGCCCTTCTTTGTAAGAGAACTTACTTAAAATGCTGCCATAAGGACAGGACTTTGGATAGAAGTCCAAGAACTGACTCAGCAGAACAAGCAGAAAAGCCTGCAACTGCAGCAGATTTGGTTTATCCATTAAGTATGGAGTCAAAAATACCCCCTCTTTCATACTATTATATTGTCTTTTGCCCAGTTTCCATCAATTTCCAAAGCAAGGGGTTTCAATTATATACAATTACTTAATCAGCAACACACTATATCATTAGTAACTTGCCCACTTATTATCAATTTATTTAGTGATCCTTCATATTTCAGACAAAGTCCCCCCAAGGCAGCATGCATTCCAGCTTATAAAACTGCAGTATCCCTTTCCAAGGAAATACAATCATTTGAAACTGTTGTTTACAACATTTCACAACTAAGCACCACGTTCAGGTTAATTTGAACATAGCAACACTACTACCAACTGCACAGTAGCTTCTAACATCCCATAGTGAGCAGACACAGACTTTACTGATGTGCTGTGCTGTTCCCAAAAGAACCGCAGAACCCTTGCTCTAGAAAACGTACATCATTTTGTCATGAAGAAATGGAACTGATGGGGAAGTGGGATCTATGAAGGACTATATGTAGTTCAAAACTGGTACAGAAGGTCAGGTCTACCAGTTCCAGCTTACAGTCAAAAAGCATAGAATTAATAATTTGGTCAGCAAATAAGCAGTATTTGTAATAGTTGGAATTTTGCAGGTGAGAGGAAATGTGTGCTGTTTAAGCAAAGGATCTGTCTTTTCCTAGTTTAAACTATGCTTACACTGGACAGCCTTTTAAATAGAAGGCAGTCCATTAAGATATATTTCTCTGAAGCTTTACTGGTAGCTCTAAGACAGAGGTTTCAGAACACGTACCAAAATGAAGCAAATCCTTGCTTAGCAGGGAACAAGAGGCTTGGCACAGGAGCTAACATGGGACGAACTCCCTTAGGGAATACAGCTCTAGCTCATGTTTAGTCATTATTACAGTATTGTTCTGCTCACCTTTACTCTAAAGAGCTTTGACCAGCACAATGCATTCCCTGCTTATCCTTCACAACAAGGGTAGGGTAGGCTAGGCTGGAAGAAAGAGTATGTGTGAGAGAGAGACCAGCCCAATGTCAAACAGTAGGCATTGTGGCTGGGTGGGGATATGAACTCAGCTCTTTCCCACGTAATTCTGCAATTCTAAGCGCATCTACTCAGAAGTAAATCCCACTGAGTTTAATGGGGCTGACTCCCAGGTAAACACTATATGACTGTAACCTTAGACTGGGAGTCTAAAAATACATTGTGGTGGTTCTTACACTTTTCCTTTAGCAACTGACACATTCTCTGATCTACTGTAAACTGCAGGCTCATACAGCAACCATCTCCAAGTCCTCAGGCCTGTACAAGCTAAAATATAGGCCCATAGTGCTTGTATGAACATTCACTTTAGCATAAGCAGTTACACTCCCTTTTGTAACCATATTGTAAAAGTGATACTCCATTTCACCTCCAGGAATGAATGTCTCAACCAGTTATATGATGTAACAATACAGAACACAGCACTGAGGGTAACCTGGGTTTGTGAGGCAGGAATGAAAGCTCTGGCTGCAGCTGGTAGGATGCGATTTCCTAGCTAGAAGAATTAACACCATCTGAAAGTGTTTCTAGAAGGTTAATACTTGCCCCACATCTTACTGAATGGATGCCTTTTCTCCTGGGTTTCCTCCATCACCTCTGCTGACTGTACAAGCTCTACTCTCTACCATCCCACTGGTGCTGTGCAGATGGACTGGCATAAGACTGTGACTTGATTCAAAGGCAGATGGCCATTTCCTCCTCCTTCATCCTGAACTTTGCCCTGTCCCAAAGCTTGAAGTTCAGTGTCTTTGGGGACCTACTCATGACAGTGGTGGCTTGCAGCCATTACCTAGTGAGAGAGCTGCGATGGAATCCATTATGATGCCAGCAAGCATACATCCAACCTGACACCCAGTGTATGAATCTTGTAGAGGTAGCTGGCAGCACAGAAGAATGCTGGTGAGGTCTCTCAGAGGTCAGTGAGACAAACAAGCTGACAATTTTTCAAGTGCAATATGTGCCAATTTAAATGCCTAACCCATGAATCATCAAAAAAGAAATGTTTCACTCAAAAAGACCTCATCGATTGACGTATTGGCATATGCAAATTATTCATATAACTGAAAATTTAGAGATTTAAATCAAATTCTTGATTTAAAGAATAAATTAAATCAAATTCTTTATATCTCATGATAGCATGGATACCTATCTCGGTCTTGCTCTTTCTGGAGCTCTCCTGATGCTCTGGTCTACAACCATCATCCTCACCCATTAGCCAAGCTGGCTGGGGTTAGCTGGAAGAGCATTTACATTTTCAGCAGTAGAAACTCAGCAGGTAAAGCACATCCTGACTTGGAGGGGAAGGAACAGGGGAAAGGAACAGGGAAAGCAACTGTGTTCAGAAGGGATTTTGCTTTCCCTGTAATCTGTAGTATGTTTGAAGACCTGTGTATGAATAGCAGACTGCTCTCAGAACCAGAGTGCAGAGAACTATATGTGAGGCGTGAGAACCCGCAGTGTATGGCATGCATTAGTATGCATGCTGGTGGGCCCCTGAATGTGTCAGTCCCCTTGAAGCGCACGCTCTCCTGCAGCCTTGAGCAGAGGCTTTCACAAACAAGCTCAGCCATGCTCCCAGTAAGGGCAAGCATGGATTTTTCAGCCTTTCAACCAATCTGTAAATCCATCCTGAAACTCAGTCACATTAGTGACATTGAAAAGAGGCTTGTGGGACCCGGGTGGGGGTGGTGAGTGAACATGCAACTCCTCAAACTCT